ATTCAGGAAATTATTTGAACTAAATTACTTTAAGTCCATATTATTCTATTTCAATACTCTTTTGCATTAATTTTTTTTCCTTATTTTCCAACATTTTCTAATCTATTTTCCAACATCCTAATGATCTATTTTCTTCGTTTTAATTGCATCTTCCAGTCTTAGATTTTGACGAATTCATTATTTTCCTTCTTTTCGCTAAATTTCAAATCTCTAAAGAATAGTTTTAATTCATTTCTTCAAATTTCTATCTTAATTCTCGATAAAAGTTTGTATTTTTTTAGTAGATATCAATCGATATTTTCCATTATGAGTGTCATCAATTTGTCACATCAATAATGCATCGTCATAGAAGACTATATCTCTTTGCTAATATCTGACATTGGCTAATATTTTGTGTTGAATAGGTGAGAAATTAATTAAATATTTTTCATCTACAGGCATTTTTCAATTGCTTCACAAAGTGAAATGTGCTGGATAAGCTTGAAAATTCGCCTTTCTCCTTAAAATGTTAAAATAGATTATATGATTGAAAGATTGACAAAGACAGTAAAATGATTTTTACATTCAACGCCCAATTTTTTTTTTTTTTTTCAATTTTAAATGCTTAATAATTAAATCCTGTTGCAAACAGACTATAAATTAGCTGATGCTAAAACTCATCAAACGCTATTTTTAAAACTTTTTCTTCGTGCTTCTCAAAAATCGTGGCTCTAAAGTGAACGAATTACTGACGGTGGTCAGTTTGTCCTAAATTAAAAAATTGTTTTACGAAATTTGTATCTGTTTTCATCATAGTGCAAAATCTTAGTTGATGATAATCTTTCATCCTGAAGATATGACCTGTCTATTACCAACTATAGCATCTCTACCTGATAGATGAGCCATAATTTAGATCCGTAAATAAGAATAGATATTACGAAAATTCTGTAGACTTTTTAATTTTATTTTTTTCAGTGTTTTTTCAGCTATTTGATGTCCCATAAATTTTATGGAATTTCCCGCATGTTTTATATGTCTTTGCTAGCCTATTGTTGATACTTTCTGTTGGTCTTCGCTTCGATGTTGCACTAATGTAAGCTTTGATACTGTGATATGAGGATGATATGATATGAGTGATCATACAGTACTTCGTAGATTCCTCTGTAATTGCCAACATTTGCATATAATTGAATTATAAATTCTAAGTATTCTGTGAAGGACTGCTGGATGTTAATTTTAATGAGTTGTCAAGGAATCTGTGTATTTAGTCGCATACTGTATAAACTTCTTCTTGAACTCTTTTAAGTTTGGTCTAAAAATGAGAGCTAAACGTACATTGATCTGTTTGACATTCTGCATTAGGCGTCATTCGTCATGAATATATCTTTGGGCACTAAGATGAAATCGAGGGTGCATTTAGGCCATTTTTAGACTATTTTTCTACTGAAAAGTTGTGCTGAGATACTTTAACAAGAGATGTCCTTTGTCATAGCACTTCACAATACTCATTTCTTTTTTCTTTGACAAATAGTCAGTGCTTCGACTAATTCTAGGTTCAGAGTTCTTTTCTACTAGCATTGAACTATGACTTTATTCCTTACAGGAACTTTTCACATCACAAATGTGAACATCGATGTAGAATTTGGTTTCTTTTTTTTTTTTTTCTTCTGTGTGATTAAAGTTGAATTTAACGTCTTTGTTTTGAAAAAAAAAGACAATATTTTGCTAAAACAGAGTAATAATGCGATCGGTGTAGCTCGATAGGAATAATTGTTTACGGTAACTGTTTACGGCTAGTCGGCAATTAATAAATTTGGAAGTTTTCTTAATCATGAAGTCAAATGTACAGTGGGAATGTTCTGCTTTCAATTTAGCTAGAAGAGTTTGTCCTCTGTGACTATCTTTGTTAGGTAGACGAATTTCACTAAGGGTACAATGTCGTATATTAAATCATAAAAAATCGTAAACAATTATTAAGAATGATTTTAATGTTTCAATTTGCAATGATTAGTCTGCAAACATTTTAAAAGCAAGTTTACGTCTTTGTTCTTTTTTCTTTTGTTTTAATTCAACTGCAACAAGAAATGTCCGATTGACGGATTAATGAGCTCTATTTATCCGGATTTCCCTAACGTTAACAAATCCAGTGCTTTGTCTGAACTTTTAGTTCGGATCTTTGGCTTGGCGATCCTGCCGAAACATACGCCACACTGAAATCTTTTGCATCTGATAATTTATTATCGGCTTGATCAAATCGAATGAGAAACTTCTACAATTGTATTACCTTCTACAAAAGTAAACAAATATTGTTTATTACTTACTGAAAGTAATGAAATTGGAAAATTTTTATAGAAAAGGAATGCAAAAGTAATATTATTCTGCGACAATTAGCATGAAAAATAGTCATTCATCACCTTCCACTTAATTTAATAGCTCCTTAAGTGCTACAAGTTAATTTATCACTTTTATCACATATATTTAATACGTCATTCTATTCTATTAAGAGGAAACTTTTTTTAACCTTTCATACAAATTTATGTTCAAAATTAAATGATAGCTTCTATAACAAATTAAAGGTAATATCGTTAGTGAAATCAATGTATGTATTAGCAAAAGCTTAACTTTTCTCACAATTACTTTTTGCAATGCATTAAAAAATGTTTGAGGTTAATCGATGATATTTGATTTAATATAATTTAATTTTTTTTTTTTTTGATGTTTATTTTTATAATTAAGAAATGGTAAATTATCCTGAATGCATGATTGCATGATGCAATCCTTAAGCATGCATGCATATCAGTAACATATAAAAAATTTTTTAGTAAATTGCAAGCATTACAGGTATTAGAGATGTAATAATAATAGAAACAGTATTGTCACATCATTTCATTTCAGGTGGCCTTCATCTTGAATTCCATTTTGCTATCACTCAAAATAGATCCCAGTATATTTTTTGTTATCATTTCTTTCTGCAAATTAGCATTTACAGTTTCACTGATATAATAGAAAGATTATAATGCAAATTATGTTAAAGCAAACAGTGAAAAACAAATTTAAAATCCAAAAATTTCAGCTTTTTCTTTTTGTAAACTAAAATTTGAAAGATTTATTCATTCAATTTGTTTTTCTTTTTGAAATGAAAAGAATGAAACTTAACAAAGCAAAAGCAAAGCTTGCATATAAGAAACAACATCTATGATGGTAATGACATCAGTTTAACTTTTAAATAAAGTACTATTTAAATGTGTTCCTTCAAAATTTCTTTCAGAAATCCTTTGTTCCTTATTGAAAAAATTTTCAAATGTTGATAAAGTGCGCCTTGTTAACTTCTCTCGAAAAACTCTCGAAAAATCTTTATGTTTATTTATTAGCTTTTCGCTGATTCTTACAAGCTATACCTTTCTATTCGAATCAACATTTTTCATTTTTTTCATTTTTAAGTTTAAAAGTGTAAAAAAATTTTTTTCTACATTCCAAAAAAAATTTTACTAAATGATAAATAACTCTAAAATAATAAAACTTACTTCAATCAAATAATACCTTCTTTCGTCAGTTTCAATTTTCAGGAATGCAACAACAATTTTGACTTAGATTAAATAATTGTACATTTAGACAAACAGAAATGAACTGATAAGATGCGGAAGCGTAATGAAAAGATGAAGCCGGAATAAGTTATTTGTAGTGAAATTTTACTATACACATATTAATTACATGATTTCTCATTTATTTTTTATAGAAATATTTCGAAAAAAAAAAAATGCAATGCAAATAGTTTATTGCAATGCAAATAGATAGGCTAACGATCTAAATAATACTTATTACTTAGCTGACTAATAATTTAAGCAATATCACCTGATATGATTAACCTATTAATCAGTTTTCTTATCTTAATATTTCTTTAGCAATGTTCGTTGTGATTATAAATTAAATCATCCATCAAAGTGCATTATTAAAAGAAAATCTTTTCTTAAAAAAATTTCTTAAGTGCTAATATCTGTATGCAAAGCCCTATTAAACTAAGGTTCGATATATTAAAGATTGTTTACATTATGTTCAATCATTTCAAATATATTTCCATCAAACTAACTTGATGATTTCTTTTATCCAACCTGATATCACCGATATGTCACGAATTTGTCCTATTACAATAAAATATATATTACAATAAAATATCTTAATAGTTTTTAATGATTTGTAACATTTCAATCACAGCGCAAGAAAGATGTTGTTTATGTGTATAAAATCAATTTGATTACAAAGTTTTAATTTTAAAATATAGAAATTCAAAAAAAAATGAAATTTGATAGTTTAATAAATAATATATGTTATTAAAACTTCTAAATCTCTTAGTTTGAAAAGTTTTTATATTTGAATGTGTGCCTAAATCAAAAAATAGAAGAAATAGAAGAAATTTCAACACGTAGAAATTGTATCTTTTTATATTTTGGTATTCAAATTTATCAGATAATCAGAAACTTTGATAGAAAAATTTAATTCTAGTCAAGCAGATATAAATGAGTAAAATAAAATAATACAAAAGGAATACAAAATGCAAATTAAAAAAAGGAAAAAATTTAATTAGAAATCGATAAAAAATTTTTGAACTAATTGCGTGCCAAAACATTGAAGCAATTTATTTCTTTATTAAAATTTACAAGTTTGTTATTAAATAATTTAGAAGTCAACATTGCTTCATATCCATTCACAGAAAATTTTGAAAAAGATTTACCTGTAGAATAGTCTATAGAATAGAATCTTTTGTGTAATTTTGAAAACAAAATTTCATATTTATTAAGTGAATCATTTTTAATTTAACCATTTATAAGACAAAACCTGATCAGGTTTCAATAATTTATTTTCAGCTTTGCATAACAAATTTAAAATTCCATCTTCTCCTAAATTCTTTTTTCCCTCCCTTGTCACTTCATTAATTTCAATAATAATATAACTATCCATCATTTTGTACATTAATTGATCAACTAGCATGTTTCATCGTCCAAAGTGATATTTTCAGAATTTAAATGAAACCTGAAATGTTCTCGATAACTAACTTATCAGTCATTTCTCTACTTATTACAATTCAACTTCTGCTCATCTTCCATCATATTTATGTCTGTGAGTTTTGCAAAATTTTATCACTGGTAATTTCGGTATCATTTGGTACCTTTCTGAAAGTAGAAATTATTCTCACAATTATTTTTTGATAATATTTTTCACCAGCAGCTTTTACATTTTTTAGTAGGAGATGGTGAAGTAACTACGGTAACAGCACATGATGGACTAACTACAGAAACTCAACCGGATGGGTTAACAGCAGGAACTCAACCGGATGGACTAACGGCGGTAACTGAACAGGGTGCAGGAACTGATGAATCTATGCGTTTACTGCCTCTCATTCAAGAACATTCACCATCGAAAAAGATTGTGATGCAGCAATAACTGATCCGGCAGTAGCAACCGAATTAACTTCAGTAAATGAATTTCTATTACTGTTTTGCATAATCTTCAAATTTTGCTTTTATTTTTTTTATAGCAATTTATAAATTTATCTAACATTTGATGAATTTTAGATTTTCTTTTTAATTGATATATCTGCAAGATATTTTTATAAATTGTTTTAAAAATTACATATGTATATAAATAAAGATAACATTTTGAAATTTTTTTTTTCTATTAATAAAAAATTTGTGCAAAAATTTTTGTGCTGAAGTAATCAGGAAAATTTTTCAGAAACCATACACTGTTGATTCTGATAAAGCAGATGCAAATATTAGCAATTCATGTGAGGATATCAAACAACGTGGATTATATCCGGAAAATCCTGCAAGTGATGACGAGAAAGATTTTCCAATTGTTTTCATCCGAGTTGTTTACAGAGTAAGTTCATATGAATAATTTTTTTTTTACCGTAGAAAATAAAAATTTTCCACTAAATTTTAAAATTGTCATTACTATTTTATTTATATGTTTCCAATTTTCTTTCTTCAAATCGTCGTTTTTATTCAAATTTTCCTAAAGAATAGAAAATATACACAAAAAAAAAACAAACAAAGATTATACCATTCTTACTTTCATTTGTATTTCGAATTTAACAATTTGCAATTTAATGCACACTTACAAATAAATTATCATTGTTATCATCAAAATTTACAATGATAATTTGTACATTCGCTTAATATTTAATCAATCAAACATTTTTTTTTTTTTCTAAAAGATCGAAATATCATTTAAATAAAAAAAAAAAAGAGTTATTTTCTATTTGCCCTTGTATATGCTAACATTATTGCGAATTTGTAATGAATTTTAATTTAAATTAAAATTGATTGATAAATTAAAATAAAATTAAAAAATTTTTTAGGCCTATCACATCCAGGAATTGCTATTTAATTTGATGTATGCTCCACAGAATTTATATTGCTATGCGTTGGATAGTAAATCAAGTCCACTATTTCATGAACAAATGAGAAATTTGTCAAAATGTTTCCCAAATGTAATTTTAACTGAAAATGAATATGAAGTGGACAGTGCAGACATAATATGACTAAAAGTTATATGAAATGTTTGGAAACTGTATCAGAGAAACCTGCATGGAAATATGCTATCTTACTTCAGGTAAACAATAATTTATGACACATTTAGTAATTGCTTGAAAATTATAAAATTTAGCAAAAAAGTATTACAATTAATCTAACACACACACAAACACATATGCATGCACATGCACACACATGCAATACATGCACATACATGCATTCCATGCGCTGCTGCATAATTTATTAAAACAATTGTGCACAGTTTGAGAGAGCAATTTTTCAGCTAAAAATTCTTTTATATATATATATATATATATATATGTTTATTAAGTAAAGAAAAGAAGTCACTTCATTCAACTTAATTAATAACTTTTATTTTAATTAATAATTTTATTTTAATTAGTAATTTTATTCTAATTAAAGACATAACGAAAGATTCGCATAAAATGGAATGTATTTTTATAGAATGATGATTTCCCAATAAAAAGTAATTATGAATTGGTCAAAATATTGGATATACTTAATGGTAGTAATGCAATTAATGTTGGAAGACCATATCGTCATCGTGTACCGCAACATATCGATTGGAGTTATGCTGGTTTAAACCTTTTTAAAGGTTTGGTATAAATTTAATTTTGCAAAAATTTAAATTGAAATCTGATATTCTTCCCAAATTTTTACATTAATATTTTAAATTTTCTGCAAAAAGAAAAAAAAATAAAATACTATGGTAGTTGAATGAAATGATAATTTGATAATATTTTATCATTCCCATTGTCGTATTATGCATATAAATATAATTACAGATTCAAGCAAAAATGTTCCCGATTCACGTCTAAAACTTGCTAAAGGAAGTCCATCTGTTGCATTGTCGAGAGGTTTTGTAGAGTATGTAACGAATGAATTGAATTTAACAACACTTATTAACATTTTTGACTCGAAACCATTTGGAACTGATGAAATGATCTTCCAAAGTTTACATTCCGATGATGCTTTAGGTTAATTTTAATTTTAAACATAAAAGATTTCACAGAAAGACAGAAATTAGGGAAAAAAAGAACCATATAAGATGAAAATTATTCTTGAATTTAACAAAATATATTCAACAATGAAATGTTGCTTAGAATAAATGATCCAATTTCTAATATTAGACAAAATTTGAAATAAATAATTACTGCATTTACAGATGCTCCTGTGCTTTACAAGAAAATGCCTTGATGAACAAAGCGATTTTACCACTAGGTTAGTTCAAAAGTAATTTTAATCTAATATTTTCTACTATATCATCACAGAAATGATATCATTCAATAAAAGGAAGAATGTAATAATTTACAGATAGCATTGTTTGTAATCTCAAAATTTAATACTTTTATAATTTCTTATCCTTTTTTTTTCTCTTGTTTTATACAAAAAAAAAGTAAGTAAGTAAAGAAAAAGAATTATGAACTGATCATTAATTAGAATTAATTAATTGTAATATATAATAGATATGTATCGTGGTCCTGGTCAAATCGAACATGTAAAAGTGGCAATTATCGACATAGTGCATGCGTATTTGGTGTTGCTGATTTGAATCATTTGGAAAATATTCAGCATTTATTCGCTAATAAAATGTTATCAGAAAATGATTATGGAGCGATTGCTTGTTGGGCAATGCGTTTCTCTAAACGAATTGCAAGCAAATCAACTGTTGATTTCGAGAGTTACAAGCAAAGTCAAATTGTACGATTTAATCATGATAAAGAAATGTGGAGAAAAAATATATCAATGTTTGAGTGCTAAAAGATGAAATTAAAATGCTTATGTATTATTTTGAGGAAAAACTGAAGCAGTGATAAAATGTAAAGATAATGAATTATAAATTGCAAATGCATACTATTTAACAATTAGCACATCAATTAAACAAAACAAATGGGATATTATTGTAAGTCTTAACATCTTACTAACTAATCAATTTTGATAATGGCAAATTATAGCAAATATGAAAGAAGTTTTTAAATTGTCAGTATAAAAACTCGGTATCAACTATCAAATAAGACAAAATAGATTCAAGTATTCTTAATTAGTAATTTAAATAATCTTAACTCGATATCGACATTAAAATTTGATAGTAGCAGACACAAAGGAGTCAGAAGAAAAAAAAACATATTACAGCGATGAATAAAATATTTCTAAAAATATGAGAAGCGATGAAAATAAGGAAACCAAATGTAATGGTGACAGTATTTAATTAGAGTATTTGCAAAAGTCGATATTATAAAGAATACCTTGAATGAATGCGAAGAAAAAGAAATATATTTGTAAACATGTCCCAAACTGAAGAGTTATCGACCTTCATACAAGCAGTTCCTTTAAATAAAAAAACAAATCTTGATGCCCTAAATTCCATTGGGATTATTTGTAACTACAAAGACAAAACTTTCCTCATCTGTTAACAATTTGTTCTTGGGTGATATCACAAGAAATGATTGCTGACAACAAATTTGCGCCTCTTTTGTGCGCTAGGATTATCATGCTTTGTATCCGGTATGCATTTCATTCATCATTACTATGTTGTGTTTGAAATCGAATTTTTTATTTTGAAAATTAAAAATATAGCATAAAAAAAGGATACTATGAACAAAATAAAAGCAGCATATCATTTAGGTATATGATATAATCAAACAACATTTGGTTGAACATCAGTTCTTTACTGATTAGATCAATGACCAGAAACTCCACATGCAAATCTAAAACATTGTACATAGCTAAGTTCAGACTGCAGAAGTTTTTTGTCATCTACTCAACAAACCATTGTAGATGAGTGTTGTAGATGAGTGATATAAGGTCTCTCAAAAACAAAGCGATTAATATTTTATATAAAAAATCAGGCAAAAGTCAATAAAGTCTGATACGAGATCAGAGAATCAGAGATATGTGCAGAAGTAAACAAAATATGCATAGAAATTGAACAAGCGTCACTGGTGATATCTTTATACTCATAAAGTCTGAAATTTGAAATTCTCTCCCTTGGAAAAAGGAGTTCTGGAAAAAGTTTTCCCGTCAAACTTTAAAATGTCCACCTATTCAATGATAAAAAGATGAATAATTTACAGAGAAATATAAACAAGTCTACAAGTGTCTCTTGCCAGCAAAAATCAAAAGACACAACAAACAAACTATGAAAAATAATTCACAAGCAATGCCTGTCAATGACACTTCCTTTATACTTAATCATCATCATCCATAATAACATCTAACAACATTTTTTTTATTCCAGATTCATCTGAGGCAGTCGTGGAATTTGCAAGATCGGAAATTCCATCTCTCTGTGAAGCATTTCTTAGGATCTCTAGCATGGATGGATCATTATTTTGTCCACGTCCCGCTTTTCGTTTTTTCACTTCCTCATTCCTTTGCTGCTTGTTGGCTTTCCATATTTCCACTGCTTCCTTTACCTGCAGTTATTAAAATTAAAATAATATCCTGTGAACAGTATTAAGAAAGAAGACAAATGGATAAACGCCCGGTGATGAAAGATTGTGTTGGCTCACACATTCCTTTTTTATAGGCAAACTGGTCGGAGAGAAAACAAGAAAGGTCAAACGACAATCGTATTCCTTCTTTTATTCATTTCACCAGATCTATTTCTAGCAATCAGTAAATGCCAAAGACCTAATAAATATGAACTTTAATAAATGTGAACCGGTTTCTCCAACTCTTCACATTCCAAAACTCGCACCGCATTCAATACATCCAACGCAGTAACCGTCTTGCGTTTGTTAGATACTGCACATTCTTGAGCATACGTCGCAGCATGCAAAATGAAAACTGTTGCAGCACGAGCTATCGCTATTCGTGCATCCTACAATGTCAATAATTTTGATTCTATACTTCATAAGCTGTTTATTCATTGTTAAAATGGAAAAGGCTTCAAAAAGAAAAAAAAAAAAAGAACAAAACCAACAGCACAATGAATATTGATAAGAAAAAACAACAAAAAAGTCACAAAAACTCCATTCATCCTCTAAAATACTGCAAACCTTAGAAATGATAACACCAGGGGGTAATGCATCCTTCACTAAACGACCAATCACAGTTTGTGGCAGCCGCAAATCCTCAGCTACATCTCCGTCCGCCATTTCAGCAGTAACCTCTTTTTCTTAATAAAAAAAAAAAAAAAAGGAATCAAGACATTTTATTTAGTGTGGATAAATTGTAGCACAAATTTTAGTACATATTACTCCAAGAATGTATCACCACAAAAAGAAAGAAATATAAATCAGTTTTCAATCACTAATGAGAGACTAAAGAAATCGTATCTCATTGAAGTCAGTTTATGCAATATACAAACTGCGTATGTTACGTGATTACATCTCAACAGCAATCAAAAATGCATCATTTTAAAGACATCAGTCAAATTCTCTCTTCCAAATTAAAAATCCACATAATCCCATCCACTCACCTATTTCCATCTTCCCAAGTTGAATTCACTCAAAAAACTTTTCAAAAAAAACTTCCTATGCCGAATTTTAAGAATGTTAAAATTCGTAATATTAAAGTTCGCGCTTCCATTTGAAAAAATTATCCCACACTTTTTTTATCTTCTTTTTATGTGTGTGTGTGTTTTTCTGGCTTGTCTGTTATTGGATAATTTATCGTAATAATTTCAAAATGAAATTTCTATGATATATTTTTTTCTTCATATGGAATATTTTGAAAAAAATGAATAATTCGTTAGAAGATATTTTAATAGTTTATTTCCATTTTAATTGAACATTTAAATGATCACAAAGTAAAAATCAAAAGTTTTTACTATCATTTTGTGGACTATTCATTATACTAAACCATATGAATAAAAATTTAAAAAAAGAAAAAGGAAAACAGAAAAATTATTCTTCTTAAAAAAAAGTGGATTACTGAAGATTATTCGTAAAACCGGATTTCATCAATTTAAAAATTGTGCAGTGAAAGCGATAGTTCTTTCCTCTTTTTTCGTCCATTTTCTTTTCATTTAAAATTTTTTGGTGTAATAAAAGAATTCTTTCTGAAAAATGTGGAAACACGATACAGAGATCAAAGGTGAAATGAGATGCATAAGATATCACTCTCGAATGTTTTACAATATCAAACAAGTTTTCTTCGCAAATCTTACAGTGTAAAAATCATCTCAATCAATTTCTGATTAAAAATTTTTGAATTTAGTAAAGCAATTCTAAAAATACAGCTCAGAAAAAAAAATAAAACTAAAAAGATGAAGAATTCATTTGAAAATAATTGCAGATGTGTAACATCTGCAATTAATAATAAATTAATAATTTCTTAACTAAAGAAATTAATAATAATTTCTTTAATTTAAATTTGGGACGAAAATGAGCTAATAAATGTTATATGCATATAATAATGATAACTATTCAATTTTTTCATAAAACTAAAATTTAAACTCTCAAATTAGTCATCAAAGATCATTTAGTTAAGGTATAAGTAATAACAAAAATATTAGAGGTATGCTTGGAGATAATTCTGTCATACTGTGTTTTTTTTTTTCCTTTTTTTTTCATTTTGAAATTTATTCATAGCGTTAAATTTGAGTAGTTTAGTAAAAAGTTTCTTTTTGTGCTCTCCCATATCTATCATTTGTTACTTTTATAAATTCTTAAATTGTGACTCTTCTAAAGTTGCAAAGATTATTTTTAAGAATGGAAAATAGTTTATATTATTTTTTTTGTCTTTTTTGCTGCAAAAAAAAAAAAAAAAGAATGTTGGAAATCAGGATTGACCTTAGATAGATAAAAGTAAAATTAATTTAATAATTCCAACCCATTCATTTTAATTTGAAAGCTACCAATTTTCCGTTGCGTTTAATTTCAAACAAATAATTGAGGACGATCGAAGAAATTCTTGTTAACGATATTTGTATTTTATTCAATTTATTTATTTACAAGTGAAATATGATTGTAAAATTGTTTCCGACAATTCAGAATGATAAAACTTTGATAATGTTCATTTTTAATTATTTATTCAAATCAAATAAAAATTTTCATTGTCAAAAATTGCTTCACACTAATTTTTTTGTCTTTCTTACAATGGCTTTCTTTTTTTTTCTTTTTTTTTTCATCATGCAACATTGACTTAATTTTCAAGTCTTATAACCGGTTTAAAAAAAAGAGAAAAGGAAAAGAAGCAACAAAGGAAATTTTGAATTTATTCTCTGATAATAATATAAAGGTGTACCATTTGTCCATACATGAATCAGTTAAAAAAATTTTTTTTTCTTTTTTTAAATTTCTTCCTTTTTGATACATATAATGGAGTGATAATAGCATAGCAATTAGTGTTAATTAATAATAATATTAATTAATTTTTCTTATTAAAAATTAAAAACATCGTTCATAATGTTATGGAAATAAGACTTACAATACTAATTTCAAGTTTAAATCAAAAAAAAAAATCCTTTTTTTTTATTATCATTAACATTTCAATTATTCAAAAGTTACTTTATCCTTTACAGAATTCAATTGCTTTATTCGATTGAATTTTCAAATAAGAAAAAAGAAAAAAAAAAGGGAAAGACATTTTTCAAACAATGACAATTAATGATGATAATGAATGAAAAGACGGATATTATTGGTCAGTGTAAGGACAGAAATGAGGTGGAGTTGATGGTGAATCGAAATATATGATTAAACCGGTTACAATTGCTATTCAAAAGAGCCCATCGTTTCATTCTTTCTGGTTGTATTAAATTAACCAATCTGATCTCATCTAATCTAGTTCCTGGTTAACTTTTCATCTATTTCAATCTGGTTCTGTTAAACTTTTTAGCTATTTACTAATCTAATTCTCGAAAATATTTGTTCAAGACTTAAACCATTCATCTAAATATTTACTTCAAACTATCTATATTCAAGCTATCAATATTTCTAATCATATTCATTATGATATTACAAATTTCTATTCAAACAATCTATCATCAAGTATATTGTTGCAGTTATCTGAATTAAACTATTATATTATCTGAATTAAACTATTATTGAGAGAGAGAATTATCACTAAAATTTATTTATTTATTTACATCATTTCCATCATTCATATATTTGCTCAAAATAATGTGTGAATAGGAAAAGTGCTTCTTCTAACAAATGTATTCAGTGGTGACAATTATTGTACTTCTAACAGGACAAACAAATGGTCAATACGGTGAAATAGCATCACTAATTGGTGATTCTCTTACACCAGGACTTTTCGGCAGTGCAGCTAGCGGTTTAGCTGGAGCTGCTTCAGGTTTTCTCGGCAAAATTGGAACATGTTTGTTTTATTTCTCACAATAATGAAAATGTTTCATCTTGTTAGATAAATTTCACTTCAACAAAATATCTCAAAGATGAATTCGAGCATTATTTTTTTGACTAGTAATAGTTTATAAAATTATTTTTTACTTACCAATGAATGTAGTAAATTTGTCATAAAATTTTTGACATATTTAATTGATATTTAAAAGAGTACTCTTAAATTGTTATGCATAATTTAGGTTAAATATGATTTATTTTGTTTTGATACGAATGATTATCTTAGAGTAATAATCATGATAAACACATAAAACAGAAATAATCTGTTACAATGTTCGTTTCTTCCTTTTTTTTCAGTGTATCAAATTGCTCAAGGTGCATTACAATTAACAGGTACCGATGTTGGTATCCTGAATCAGGCTGCAGAAGGAAAATGGTTTAATAAAGTTGTTGAAGAAGCTAGAAATGTAAGTTCATTTCTAATTTTCTCATTTTGTAAAAAGGGTGCAAGAAATGAAAAAGTATTTCACAGTAACTGTAAATACTACTAATTAGCAAAAAAATATTTCTTTGATTTATTGAATTTTTAAAAAATTTGCATAAAAATGTCAGTGAGACTAAAAATGAAATTTTTAAATTAAAATTGAAATGTAAAAAGTCCAAAATTAGCAAAAAAGAAAAGCATTTAAACACAATTTTGCATAATAATAAAATATGAAAATAGGAAAAAGTCAAAGAAAAAAACAATTTTTTTTTGATTTTTTTTTTTAATTTTTGGTTGACCTTTTAAATTAAGATACTTTGAACATCCATTAATTAATTCTTAAAGAGAGCTCTTTCATATTCAGGTATATTTACTTAAAATAAAGAAGAAATAAATGTCATCCATTATATTTTGCATTCATGTATACCAAAAAGTTATGATAAAGTTAATTTATACCAGTGAGTATGCTAATGTATAACGATAAGTAAAGTCTAACCTTATCATGTCCTCTCTTTTAAAGTTTTATTGTTTTTTTCTCGTAATAATCAAAAATTTTATACAGTGTTTTCCTCTCTAACAGTAGCTGCTACAATTTCAATCAATAATTTTCCACTGAAATAATTTGAAAATTATTCAGAAAATTTTTTTAAAATACATTTTATTTCAATTTCCGACTTTAAAAAAGGTGCCATTAAATGTATGAAAGTGGCGGAAAACTATAATCCGTCTTTCATGTCGTAGAATTTGTTGTTAGTCTTTTCAAAAAAAAGAAAAAAAAAAACTCTTGCAAAAGTGGATCTTTTATGAGAAATTATATTCTAGGCTAATCGGGAAATTCAAGACACAACACTGATTGGTGCGTACATTACTTCAATTTTTATTTAGTTATTTCCATTTCCAATTTAAATACTTTTTAATTGTACCAAAGTAAAGTAATAATATTTGTTTGCTCTGAAACAAAAATTGGTGACCTTTTTCTTTAAGACTTATAATTAATTTATATTAACTCTAGTCACTTGAAATTTGTTGGCCGGAAATAGAAATCAGCCGGTTCGTTTGTTAGTAACACTTATCTTGGCCACTATCGATGTTTTGATGGCCTCTAAAATAACGAAAATAGCAAAAAGGCTAAATTACAGTTTTCCGTTTTTTTTCCATTTCGATTTTTTAAATTTTAACTGGAACAAAAAGCAAATATGTTAATGATGAATATATTAATATCCATAATGATAGTTAAATCACGAACACATGTTGGAGAAATATAACAGAATTTTCTGAAATTTCCATAAGTAGTAGGAAAATTAGTTCTCGGTGAAAATTAGGTGTCAAATTCATTATATCGTGTGAGAGGCGTAAAACTCATTCATCATTTAAAATGATAAAAAGATTTGAGAAATAAAGAATGAAAAAATAAAAAGGAGAGTAGATGGTAATACATTATTGCTCCATAACCTGTTCCGAAATTGTCAGTTTCGGGTTTTCACAAATTTTTAATCCTATTGTGACAATGTCAAAGTCCTAAACATCAAACTGTTCGAGCAAAAAATGATGAACGTGGAAAAAATTAAAATTGCAAATAAATTGAAGTTGAGGTTCCAATAATTCTACTTGATTCGAAAAAAAAAAATTAATTTTGGTAGCTAAATAAATGCACTTGCCTTTCAACATTTAGGTGATTTTGAAGACGAAAGAAATGTAAACCATTCCAGGAAATAGACTGCAACCCGATTACTCTCAGTTTGGCATTAATTTTCCGGCACCGGCACTAGTGACTATGACTAGTGATCATAATACATAATAAAATTCATGTCAAAATTTATTTTAATTATTATTTACTTAGAAAGAGACGAATAATTTAAACGGAAAAGAAAACCGAAATACTGTGAATGTAATTAGCGTCAATGAAAACGGAGAAGAGATTAATCATACTGAAAATAGAGAAAACACTGAAGCGGTTAGCATGAATAAAATTTTAACAGTAATAATCATGAACATGAAAGGACGATTTTAGTACTAAAAACAAATTTTAGTAAAATTTTCAAAAATCAAATTAACTCAATTTCTATGTGATCTCTCTAATCTTCTGCAAAGTTCTAAAAAAAAAAAAAAACAGGCAGTAAACAATCTTCGAAGACTTAAAAAAAATTATGAAAAAATATGTTTCATAAAATCATTTATTAAAATTACAAAATACAATGAATTGCAGATATTTTCAGGATAAAAAATTAGAGTTCACTGAAGAGAAATTAGCAAAATTACAACGATTTATTACATTGTTACATGAAAGTAACATAACAGGAAATGACTTAAGTGAGTTGACACAAATGCTCGAAGAAGAAAGAATGAAAATCAGTCAAATCAACAACAACCGAATCTCGAACTGTTTTCACTAATGCTACTTCAGCAGATATCACTACAACTTCAACACTTCAACAAATATACAACGAGACAAGGTGGTTAATTTATTTGCAATTCTCTCAATTTTCAAATTCTTTATCGCTTCTCCAATTCTTGAAGTATTTATTGACATTTAAAGAGTTTTCGAGGATTCATTTCAGTATTCCAAATGTTTCTTCATCAGTAAAAAAAAAAATGTCAGTGTTGTCTTTTTGACATTGTCTTCGATATTTAGAGAGTTTTGAAGACTTAGCAAGTATATCAATATTATGTTGCAATATCAAATTTTAATTTTAAAATTAAACTAGAATTGTTTACAGCAAAACTTTCATCACCGCTCCGCCAATAACCTTTCAACATACAGAAACAGGTGATGTTATTGATAACGAAGATAATGATCTACTTCCATTTTCTACTTCAAGATCAAGAGCAGTAATCACTGATTTATTTATATTTACAAAGTAGCAAATTTATTACTCAGTGGGAATTTAAAATTTTTGAATGACAAGAAATACTTCAGATAATTGTTTTATTTACTAAAGAGCAGCTATGATCAAATATCAAAGTAGACAACCTACAATCAATTCAGTATTGGCAACTATTTATCGTCCCAGGAAATATCCTCGTCGTATAGCATATCAAGCACTATTACCGTTTGTCACCAGTGCTACTCATACTGCAGCTAACATAGAGAAGCCAAAGCAGTTAGAAGTAAAGATGAATGAAAGAGCAATTCAACAACTTCACTTAACAAGTATTTCTTGACAAAAATTCATATTTAATTTATTTCTGTTATTTATTAATTGCAATTATTATGAAAGTGTATGATTCCTTGAAACTGAAACTGTTAGTTAATCTGTCTGAGAGAAAATAGCTTTTGATTTGAAACCAGTAAGTACAATTTTCTCTTTTGTTCAAGAATTCTTAAAAATTTCTTACAGTAATGAATTGAGTAATGTTCATACAAAAGCTGATAAAAATTATTCGCAACCTATAAATGTCATTAAATCCTACCCTCCACACATGTCCTCTTTAGAAGGTCATAATACTAATAATGGGTTATAGACCCATCAGAATCCTAAATATATTCTTGGAGAGCCGAATTCATATTTTAATTCAAACGCTGATCCATTCATCTTACCTTTTTAAATCGAAATCCATCATGAAATTTGCTAATTGGCTTTGATATTTTATTATTGGCTCATTATAAAATTATTTGTAAAAAGTTGTGCATTTGTTAGGTGTATACGTGTTACCAATCCGTTCATTGTTTTTCAAAATGAATTATAAATATAGAAATTTTAAATTTATCAATTTTAAAAATGAACATTGTGGCAGATTAATAATGAAAATTAGCACTATGAAAGTAATATTTAATGGTTTCAACAGTTTTAGCAACGAAACAAGATAACCGTCTAGACAAGAATAACAGAGAAAAAAACTAGAGTCTATTTGCCAATTTTTGATAAAATAACTGCTGGTAAAAGTATGGCTATAGCGAATTCTTTAAAGAAAATCGAGAGAGACTGAGATCGATAGTAGATGTATAAAAAATGCTGGATTTTAACTGAAAATGAAATGTACCTAAGCCATACCTGATTCTAAATCTGACCTTTAAATCTAAAAGAACAAAGACATTAAGCAATAGTGTATTATTATGAATTATTAGAGTAATAAATGAAGTAATTAAGGTTCTGATCACTTCATCTTTTCTTTGGTCTGTTCCCTTCATATTAGCACCGTTACACAATCTCATGTTTTTAAATCTTAGCTGTCATCGAATATACAAACAAAAGTTGCATTAATTATTCATTAAGTGAAATGAAAAGGGACTGAAACGAATTTCCTAATAGCAAGTATGGAAGAATGCTTGAAGCTAAGCATCAGCGTCACAAAAAGGCTTAGAAGATTGAGTCGATCACAGCTTCTCAACAATTATCTCTTTCATAATTATCTATTTTACTACTATCTTTAAGAGATGAGACAATCTTACCAGACATTAACAATTTCACCTTTCTTTTCTTATCTTTATCTTTCTATTCACTCCTACGAATGACATTCTTTCTTTCCAAGTCTACTTGTCAACCACTTATGACTCAACACTTTCCACATTTCAAAACGATTAATGTTTAAACTATTTTCAATAATCTTTTAAACTATCTTAAGTTATTTATAAATTGATATTACACAACTTTTTGTACCTTTATCCAATCAGTCATCCAGTTTCCCTTGTAAATAAGTATTAGTCAATATAACTGATAAGCAAAACTTTCTGTGGTATTTTAAAAACTTATTTACAGGAAAAGAAAAAATGAAACATTTGTACTAGAACTGCTGTTAGATATAATAAAAGTTAGGTAGAATTTATTGTTGTTAACCAAAATAAAAGCTCAAATACCTTGCGTATTTTCAATTGCATTTACAAAACATAATTATTGTTAATATCTTCCATATTCAAATTATATAAATGAATATGCAATATAAATGTTGCGTCTGTAATGTTCTGCAGTTATTACATGATGTATTGATTTGTATCTGATAAAAATCTAATAACAATGACAACTCTTCGAGTTGCAATGAAATTGATTTAATCATAAAATCATAATCTTTTAACTGATTACATATTCATGTATCCTATTTTAATAATCTTTTTTTAAATAGTTAACTTCAATTTGTAATGTAAATTGAAGTTTAAAAATTATTGCCTAAATTCTGGTTTTCGATTCAACCACTGATGAATCATTGAAAAATGAAAAAGGAATAAGTGTTGAGAAAAGATGTTTGTTGAGTAGCTCAAGAAATATCGGATTAGAATATGACACACTTATCATAAATGACCCGATTTCAACACATCCCTCACAATTATCAATAAAAATTGCTCTCAACATTTTTCACCTCCACAGCTAGTCATTTTCTTCTGTTTCTATTTTATTTGTTATTTGTATTTAAGATTCTCTTTCTCGCTATTCTTTCCTGTTTTGATCAGTTAAAAAAGAAACCGGACATAATGAATGGTTAGAGCTCAAAACCTACGGAAGATATAATGCATCGAAATATGTACTCATCTACTATTTACTACTTCTTAATAAATCTCAGGTATCTGTAAAGTATCTTTTGAATGATTGCTTCAAAATCAGAAAAAAATTAATACAAACTAAAGATGTCAATGCAGATTTCTGTTACTCTAAGCTTATTAATTTGCCTGAAAAAAATCATCAGTATAACAGCTTTAGATTTTGTCTTTTAATAGTTACACTTACAATATTCATTTTATTAGCACATTCAATTGATTTCGAACAGATAACTGACTAACACTATACATAAATTAATCATAAACAACAAATTGCAAAGTTGTAATATCTATTTTCGAAAGATTCTAGAGAAACGAAGAATTTTTTTTCTTTTAAAAGACATTATCGGACTTTTAGTAAAAGAAGCAAATCTAATCTCTCATATCCTTCTCCTTCTTCATTATTTGATAGAATTTCTATTAACATCACTTCATGCCACTATAATAAAGTCTCGAAAACTATTTCCATCTGCACATCTCAGAATTCACCTGAAATTATTCCTTAACTCAGACAAAACTGAATTAAGTGATCAGAACAGACCAAGAGATAGAATAAAAACAGAATAAATTAAGCGTTTAAATTTCAAAAAAAAAAAAGAAAGAAGGAAAAAGTAATTGGGTAGTTCTATAATTATTTATCTGGAATTATTTTATTTGATGTTACAACTCTATTAAATTGTATGACTTCAAATTTAAAATTTGATTTAAAAGTTTTTCACTTATAGCCAATTTTATTTTTCATCATTAAAAAAAGAAAAAAAAGACTGCTTGTTCTCCTTAGGCACTCTCCTTGTGCTCTTCATTCAGCCTACCAGAATTCCCGCGGTCAAAACGAGGTCAGATTTGAAATCACTACTTCCACTCAATAATTGCTGACTGTTGCAGCTCTAAGAGAGTTTTACAAGTAGCTTCAATGGTAATTGTATCATTAATGACTAACCTTTTTACCTGTCCAGAACTTACCTTTTACTGGTAGTTCCCTGCAAAATAATCTAATCATATCTTAAAAGAAATCTAAAAATCTAAAAAAATCTAATTTTAAAACCTAATCATTACTTTTACACATAACTATACATCACGATTACGTCTTCTCAATCACTTTTTTCTTTCTTCATACAGTTATTCTGAATTATTATTATTAGCTATCGTGTATATCTTTATGAGATAACGAATAACATCCTTTTTGTTTTTTAGAAAATTTATAACTTCAATTTTTTGTTTCATCAGTTATTACGACCATAATTTCGTGTTATCATCATTGCTATGTCCTACTCTTTGTTATCATTGCTATGTTATCCTTTTTTTCAGATTTACATCTCAACAAATTCAAGTATTAAATCGTTGAATTGGTTGTGAGATTAGTTTATATCAATTATTAATGGGAGACATCAATTTCGGATCTACAGATATCCACTGAAATATTTGGTTTTGGTCTAACAAAGTGTAAATACATTTTTTTTTCGATGTGTTGTGTTGAGAAGTGTAACCACATTATGATTAGAAGGATTACATCTAAAATACGAAATGAATATTTGATTCAGTGCAAAATTCGTAGCTTTTGAGTATTTACGTAATGTAGTAAATCTCATTATTTCCTAAAAAAATTAAAGCCACCACCCTTCTCATAACCATTTTTTTATAGTTACGGTTATTTGAAGGAGTTTCTATCTTCTGTTGCAGAAATGAGATGTGAACTCTCAACATCTACAGGTCAGAATTCACCTGCTTGTTCAGCGCAGAGTTCACCATATTCCTCTAACATTAGTGAATCGGAAATTGATATTTCATCATTATCAAGGCATTCGTCGTAAGTTTTTCGGACAGAACAAAAAAACGTTCACCGTTAAATTTTGGGCAAACATTTTGCGGAATTCGTTTTGCATATTTGAATATTTACATACTTGAATATTTTGTTCAAATTTATTAGTAGATTAGTGCTGATTTCAGGTGTTCATCATTAAATCAACAAAATGCATTGTCGCTGCCAACAGTAACAACAAATGCTATTTCTCCTAACCTACTTTTAAATGGAGGATGTCGAAGTGTCTCAAGAACCGATAATAATGGAAGGGTCGAACAAGATGGTGCAGCACGCATTCGCCTATCTTGTGCTCCCGATAGTGCAAGTGATGACGATGTAACTGCAGAAGATAGTAGTAGTAGGAGGTAAACATTAAATTGGGGCCTGGTTGAATTGCGGAAAATTTTTTTTTCAAAATTTTTCAAATTGAAGATTTTGTATTCAGAATTTCATGTTTTGTATTACATGAAAATATGTAATTCTTTTTCTTGGCTTAGTTTTGATGGACATTTTCGTTTTGAACGACAAAGCATTATTGAATTAAGCGGAATTAAATGGCGTTCACTCAATGGTATTACTGGAAGTGGGAATGAACCAGAACGAAAAACTTCTCTGCCACGTACTGTAAGCATTCAATTACTTACAAATTAAGAATTGAAAATGCATTATTGTGTTATGCTAATTGTCATAAAATTGTGAGTTATTGTCAGTATTAACTAAAATTATTGTATGAATGATATTTAACCTTCTTAAAAAAACTCTTAAATTACTTCACAAGTCGTTGCATTTCTTCTATTATAAATATAATACAAAATATATTACTATTACAAATATATGGCAATTGTATTATCAGTTTTTCCCAATTTATGTATTTTTTTTACAACTGATAAAATTATTTTTGGCTGCTTATAGTTCACACCATCGCCCAGCGTTTCGGGACGATCATCACCAGCATGTCATCCGGTACCTTCGCATTCACGTGTTGCAAATATACGTCGAGAAAGCAATTGCTCAATTGAAAGCGAACTTGCCCATGAAAGACTAATGCAATTCGCTCAGCAGGTAGAGATGTTAGATCATTGAACGAATATTGTTTTATTATATATGTATATGCTCATCCATATTTCTTCTAACCTTTGGTTTAGGTGTCTTTGGGATTCGATGATTTCAGTATCGGTGGTAGTGGAGAACGAAAGAGAACACATTCCCTGTCGGAACCAATTTCTGTTTTAACGAATGCTTTTATCCCGCACAGTTGCTCACCGTCACCGACACGATCAGTTGATATACAGAAGGTTTAGTTTGAAAATTTTAAGTATATCAAGACTATAAAATTTTGTTGCAAGGAAATAACTAGTGGAGGAGCAGAAGATATCTTTAAAGCTTGATTTAATTGAGTCGTCGCTATATCACATTTGAGACCATAGTTCTGAATTTGGATCATATACATGATTTATTTCTTATTAGGTTTCTTATGAGAACAGTTATCCTGTCATGTGATTGCGTGATTGTGGAGTCATTTTATTGTTCTCATAGGATGAATTTTGAAGTTACATTACGTTTTTATTTTGCACTGAAGAGCATGCAGAGTTAAAGTTCTTTCTTCAGCAGTGTTATTCGCCCTCCACGCAACAGGTTGTTCGCAACAACATCACTTATTCTCCTAGTCCAAGTCCAACACCGAGTCCTACACGACATACAATGCGGTATACATATTGGTTCTATTTAAAAAGTTAATGTAAAATTTTCATGTTTTGTTTTTATTTCTTTTAACAGCGAAGTACATATAACTTTGGACTGACTATATACTTTCATTATTTCTAGAAGTCTGAGTCCAATAGCCGTCCGTCAAGTAATAAAACGTCGATATACCAGTTCAGCTGATTGTGAATTGGATTCTGATCAACGGTAAGCGCGGTACCTTTCTTTCGCTTTTATTCATTTAAATTATAACAAAGAAAATTGTTTAAAAAAATATTATTTATCATGAAAAAAAATTATTTAAGAATGAAAAAGAACTGTTAAAAACATTATTTAATTTGCAGAGTAGCGAAACGACTTTGTCATCAGCCTCACATTATAAGTCGTGGTTGTGTTTCTCCACTTGCATTGGAAAATTCGGCAAATTCCTTGGAATCAGCAGTGTAAGAAGTCAATTATATTTTGAAATGTATTTTTAAAGTTGTATTAATCTTTTGCTAACCTTAGCAGAACTTCAGCATACTATATCTAGATTTTATTTTTTATCAAATTTAATTCGTTTTTTAATAAATTACACAAAGCGATTGGTTTTCTAACAGAAGATTAGTAGATGCATGATTTTTCTGTAGAGAAAGATATCCATCTTGCATTATAAGTGATTTGTGATGAATATAGCAAATCATTTGAAGTATATCTCCGGAATTGGCGAATCCATTTTCCTTTCGTTTTTCCTCTCGTCTTCTTGTTGATCCAGCAATTGAAGCCAAAATGCCTCCTCCTTCTATGGAACTGGACGAAGATGGCGATTCAGTCAGTGAACAGAGAACGGGTTCAGAGGTACTGTTGATTTTAAAAATGAATTATTTTTTCTGTGGACTATAAATTTAGATTAGAGATGTTTTTTTTTTTTTTGTTTTTTGTTTTTCATTTTTGTGGATTTAATCTTAATCTCAATTTTTGAGGAATTGAGTGAAGCGGGTAAAGCTGCACAGACGAAAAAAACGAGTAACTGAATTAATGAAATTGATTGGATACTAATGCACATGTTGCAGATTTCTTTCACCTTTTTTTTTTTTTGCTCTTTATTTGCTCATTTTTCTTAGCGGGCGTTCTTTTTCCAAATTGTTCTAATTTTAATTTTATAATCGATGTTTTCAAATTACTTTCCATATTATAATAGATTTCCTCTCTCTTTTTTTGGGTTACTGTCCTATTTCAGTTTTATTCTTATTTCACTTCATCTCTCTCTCTCTCTCTCTGCAAAGCTGAAACAATGTTTCACGTTTCACTTACATATCGCTTCTCTTTTTAGAATTCATTTCTGATTCATTCCAGAACTTCTTAGTTCTTGCCTGCAATTTTATTATCATATTAATTTAAAGAAAATTGTATATGTATTTTCCTTGACTTGCTCAAAAGTTTGTTTATTTCATATTGGTACTACATATTCTGTTGTATGGTTGTCTATTGTATTTTGATTCTTTTGTACACCACTGGAATTCCTGTAGCAAATCGCTGTTATTATTGGAATGCCTTTTCTTGTCTTTCTGATAAATTTCTAAAGCATTCATCAATTGCTAAAGTAAGGTATACTGTGCAATGCAGAAAAGTTGTATTTCAAATTAGAATACCATAGTATTGCTTCAAAACTAATGATAAAAATGTTCGTAGCGTTTAGGTACAAGACATCATACTGATTATTCAAAATACTCTGAAATCGGTTGGGAATACATCTTTTCTGAGTTTTCAGCTTTTCGGTAATTCCGACATAATTTGCAATATTTTATCATTGTTTCTTTGAACTGCTTAATAATATCTGTCTAATTCATTTAATAACTAATATTTTGTGCTCTTATTTATTCGAAAGCTTGTAACCTTAGAACCATAAAATTGATTCTGACTTGTTCGTTTCCCAAGTTACTACAGTTCTATTACAAAGTTGTACTGTATTTTCAATGAATAGATCGGAACATTTCAGAAAAATGAAAAAAAAAAATGGTATTAGCCATTCTTCAGTTTTCCGTGAACTTTTCAAAATTTAATGGTATTGTTTGGGGCAATTCATTCCTTGCTTCTATTCATCGTCAGAAAAGGTTCCATTGGTTAAGAAATCTATAAATATAATGCCAGATGTTTGTTGGGACAAGTTTTATTGCTTGAATCACAATTTAAGCATACTTAGATAAAGTTGTTTGATCCAATTACATACATTTTATCCGCTTAGTTTTTATTGAAAAGTTAGAGAAGGTCGTTTTGTTATTCGTAAAAGCGTTTGAGATGGAGTACAATGCCCTTTTTGATAGATTATTTATTAATCACTGAATTACGTTGAAGGAAGTTTCCTTTTAAAGGTTTCCTTCCATTTGATCGATTTTCATGTAAAGTCCAGAGTTGATGAAAAGAATTTTTTAATGAAAGTTATTGGTACGATGAAATTGACGATTGAGATCTATGAAGAGTTCCCTTACAGCAACGACTCTGGCAAGAGGAGGGCATGAACGTTGTTGAATTAAACTGTTCTTAATTTAGAACGACAGTATTACTGAATCGATTATTAAACTTAAGTGATGAATTATCTCTTCACTTCTATATCTGATAAAAGAAAGGCGTTGGAAAGAAAGGAACTGTTAATTAATTTCGAATGTGTGAATTTAAGTTGTTTTCAGCATATTTCACATTATCACCAAATTGTTTGTATTACAAATGCGATTTTTGTCGTATTTATTGCTGGTGATGATGGCAGAGGTTGTTTTGACTAAGGTAAGATTTGTTGGTTTAGTCGTTAGAGGTGTTTGGAAGTTATCTTTCTCACTGAGGATGGTTTAAATCATGTATCAACAGTAATATTGTATCTTTGATCCCTATATTGCTTTCGACGTGCAGTCACTAAGCAAATAGCCAGACGGTTCGAATGATCTTTCTTAATTGAAAGAAATTCATTTCAAAAGTGCTATTGCATTATTACCTTTGAAAATTAGGAAGGAGTAATTGCTGGTGGTGACAACACATTGAACAACTCTGGCACTACAGCAAACATTCGACAATTGCAGTTACCCGAGTTCACAGATCCTGTTATTATCGTTGGTGTGGTTTGGCTGGTCTCTCTGCTACACTTGAGGCAATACACGACGGCGCAAATGTTGTTCTTGTTGAAGGTGAAAAGGATTTGGGTGGTAACAGCGAAAAGGTAACCGTTAAGCGCATGATAATGGTAGTATCCGATAGCTTTACTTATAAAATATATTTAGAATATGAAGTATGGAGAATTGGAACTTTCACTTTATATATAATTTATTTCTATATTGTTACACACTGTACGAAACGAGCAAACAAGATAACCGTACAGTGCATACCTTACAAGCTAGTATCTTACATCATGGTTCATAGTGCTATCAACTACGATGAATTGGATTCTGTATTCTGTGACCAAACAATAATAATATTTTCTCCATCTCCTCCTGATGTTTATCTTTATTTTGATATTATTCAATCATTGTCACAGTTCTCTAGTTCTCTAGTTGAATTTCAAACTTGTTATTTCCGAGAAATGTTCAGAAAAATGTCCCTCATTAAAAAATGTTTTTCGTAGGCATCAAGCGGAATAGCAGCTTGTAATACGGAAGCACAATGTGTTAGGCAAATACATGACTCATCAGAACTGTTTTATTCCGATCCGATGTCAGCCAGATTGGTAATATTTATTATTCAACTTTAAATTAAAATGTTTTGGTTTAATTTTTCTTTTTGTCCGCTGAAGTGTAGCTGAATTCAAATGTTGAAAGAATAGTTCATGTAAGCAATTAGAAAATTGGCATCTCAGCAGTTGCTTTGATTAACATAACGCTGTAATAAAAAATACGACTGATAAGTTAACAGTTAATTAATTAATGTAAGTCTAAATTAATAGTTGCTTAACAGGAACAATCTTTTGAGACTACTGTGAAGTTTATTATTAAAGAATAATGAGTAGAGTTTCTATCATGTTTGGAATAAAATGAGTGATTTTTACTTTATTGTAGCGTTATATTATGTATTTTTAATGATAAGTGTAATAGTATTGTTAATTCGAATCTATCTTCAATTGCTAAAAAGAATAAGATTGCATAGAGAAGTTCATAATTGAGTAGCGTAACGAATATTAACAGAGTAACGTTATTTAGAGACTGATGAATTCAACGTGAAAGTATCATATTCCTCAGTGTAACAAATTAGGAGGATGAGAAATATTATTGTTGAATTGTTGATTATGACACCGAGTAATGAAGAACATCAGTTACAAATTTGTCACTTCTTTCACTGTCTGTTCGCATGGTATCACTCTTTTTGTCCTGTCTATTATGTGAAATTTTTTTATTATTGGTTGAGCATGTAAGTTTTGCTTTTTGTTGCTTATAGAACGATAAGTGTTTTGTTTATTTCTCCTTGTCATTTCTTACATTTCTTTCCATTGATGGCCATAACTAGGTGATGAATGCAGGAAGCTATTACCAGAAAGTCTATAAACATTTATATTTATGCTCATATCTTCGACCATATGAATTTATTCATTTGCTATTTGGCTGATCTGACTAGTCCTGTAATTGCTGATTATTTTTTGTGATTATGTCGCCAACATGGAAATGTATCTTTTGTGATAAGCTTAAAATGAGTCTTTCAAATTTTAGTGGTTACATGAATGACGGCAGTAAAGAATATGATATTGATTTTTTTTTCGAAAAAAAATATTACTTTGAAAATTTTATGGTCATCATCTTCCATAAAAATAATAATTGGTGGTCGTAGTTGGTGTGATAAGCTCGTGGATGGTAGTGATACATGTTACCATCACTTCGATATAGGCATATTAGATTATTTCGGAAACTGTAACTTACCGTACCTTCACTGATATGGAGTTGTACAACGTTTGGAAGTAGGGCGCTCTGCAACTTTTAAATCATTACGATGATAATTTTATTGAATGAGACTAACCAATTAACTTGACTTCCTTGTTTATTTTGTTTTATTACAATTGGGTAGTATTTAAAAAGATGTGGAAGTTTTATTAGAATATTAGGAATGAAATATTCACAATTTGTTTTTTTTTTTGTCATTTTGAAGACTGATGAAGCTTCCACAATAGCAACAGCTAATTTTCCATTGACATTTATATACAAGATCATTTTACAAGTTAATCTTCCTGAATTGTTTCTCTTCCCTTCTTCATTCATCTTACTTTCATCTTCCTTGGTAATCTTTCGGCAACTACTTAAATTTGCTTTCTTTTTTTGAGATAATGATATGCTGATCTGAAGGTTATTCAAAGGTAGTTTTACAATTAATGGGATGGAATGAAATTTAGTTTGGTAGTTAGGAATTTTGGTTATTTCATAAAAATAAGTCAGTATGTAAAACATTTACGGCTAACGCATCTTTAAGCATGCTATTTAAAAACTACTTTAATAATAGACTTGCCAGTTTTACACCAAATCTGTTCACTTGATTTCATGGTATCTTGTAATAAAAATAGGCGGCGATAAGTGCTACTATTTCTTCAATTTCTTGATACATAGTTTTCTAATAATCTGAATTTTGCTTATCATTAACTTCAAATTTTGAAATGAAAATCTAAGTAAAATTCTAGCACTGATGTCATAATATTGCAGATGCTACGCTGCAGCTTTATAACGAGTGTATTATGTAAGAGAAATGGTTTTTCCTAACAGAACTCAGTAAACGAAGCTAACTGTAACTGAGCGAATTTCTAATACTGGCAAAATTTTTATAACTGATTTATTTATATTTAGTAATAACAACTCAATAAATGCAAATTTTCAGATGAAATATCTGGGAAAATGGTTGTTTTGGCCACTGATGGTTTCAGTTGCGATTATTCCAAAGAGGATTCAGTATTGCAAGAATTCGGTCCAGAAAAAGCTGATTTTCCCACAACTAACAGTCCATGGGCTATAGGACGAGGAGTTAAAATGGCTCGTACTATGGACGCGGTTCTAGTAGACATGCATAATGTCCAGGTAAAACGGATTCTTACTATGTTTATATATTTAACATTCATAGCTTTTACGATAACACTTCTTGTAACTAATGGCTATTAGATTAATATTAATATGTTTAAAATTATTTTGCAAAAAATCGGGGAAGTTATTTTCACCGCTATTCTTCTACATTTCATCCAGTATTGAGAAAACCTACCCTACTGTTTAATGGAATCAAGTCTTTAGTTTTTGATAGTTGTTTACATAACTTTTTATAATTTAGTAACTATGTTATATAATAATCTCAAATACACAGTTATAAATAAAATTTAGATCCATCCTACAGCATTTGTCCGAAAGATCCAGCAGCAGCGACGAAATTTCTTGCCGCGGAAGTTCTCAGAGGAAAGGGTGCCATTTGGTGCATTTTTTTTGTTTATCGAAAAATTGATTTAGATAACTGAATAAGTATGTTGTTTTTTTACTTCAAAAAGAATTTTAAAAAAATATAGCTAAACAACAAAGGATTGGGGCGTTGGATCACATTACCGATAAAATTTTGAAGTTCTGCGCTAAAAACGAGAAAGCTGGCGCTCATACTGCTTTCATGGTGATGGATGATCAGGTAGTTGAAGATTTTGGCTTTGTTTGGTTTCTATGCTAAAATTAAATGTTTTTTTAAGGTAGAAGGTGTAGCTTGATTATTAGCATCTCTTTCATCGTTCTTTTTCAATGATTGTTTTATTACTAAACAGTAGCTAACCGGTTTTCAAAAACCTATGTCATGGTCAGCACTGATCCGGTTTTTGCGAATTTTTTAATTTTTGTGTTGAATCTAATATGGATAAGTTTTGTATTGTAAAATGTAAATTAGTGAGAAAATTTCATCTATTACAGCAATTCGACATTTTCGACGAAGTGCCGAATTATATGGGAATACAATCGTCAAAACTGAAAGAAGTCTTGGATAAGATAACGAATATACTAAATTATTTTTGTCTAAGGTAACAGTATACTTCGTTTTTTCACTTAATTTGAACTTACTTGAAGTACTAAGTGTAAGAGTTTTGGAGATTTTTATGAAATCTCACATTTTGAATATTTATTTCAGGAAAATAAATTTGGAAAGAAGGTTTTTCCGGTCTTTGAAACATCTCCCGTATTATGTCGCCGTGAAACATTCTTAATATTTTTTTTGTAATTTCAAAACGTTTAAACTTTTTAATGAAGAATGAGTTTATTGATGTAGTTATTTTTAGTAATTTTTCTTATATTTCTTACGTTGATGTATTATTTTTGGGCACTGTATACAATGAATTTTCGGAAAACCATTTAAAGGGTTGTTGGCTACGAGAGAAGTTACAGGAGGTGTACATGGACGTAATAGATTAGCTGGGAATTCATGGTTTGAATGCGTTGTTTATGGACGCATAACTGGACGCAATGCAGCAAACATACATTATTCAACTTCTGACGCAACACTAACACGTACTGATTTATAAAACGTTCGTTAGATCATTTTTTCTCCTTCTATGTATGAGGTTGTGAAAACTCAGCAATTTTAATTACTCATTTTAATTTTAATATGAATTATTTGTGATATCACATTTTCTGGATCATCTTATTATAGATATTGCACCAGGTAGTTCTTCCTATTTTTATTTCAAACTGTGCAGTCTGACTTTATTACATTTTCACGTTTTAATTTTTCATTGTACATTCTATACCATTTCAAAATATATAGAATCATCCATGAAAGAGCAAACTAGCGCTTCGCCACTGATTGAGTCACGATTTTTTATGTATCATTATAATGCATGTATGATCTTATTGAATAGCACGCTTCTTTATCCTTTACGTTGCATATTTTGTAATGGTTGTTTTGTTGCGTGAGTTTACGTTATGTAAGCCGATTGATTCACATAAGAATTGTTCTCAGTACAATTAGAGAATGGAGGAATTATTTGTTTGAGTTTTTTTTATATCGAAAGTTGTTTCAAAGTTAATTTTCGAGATTTTGTAGACTTCATGTGCAATGATCATTTTTATCCAAATAAATTTATGATTCTTAGGGAAATAAATGATTCTTTCTTATTAGACTTCTACCTAACTGTACCTTAAGATGTTGCACTGGTGACATGGTTGACTCGTTCCCTTAAGAGTATTATTAGAGTGTGATCTAATTGGTTATATGTTTACTGCTTCTAAGTGATTTATGTGGTAAATGTCTAAACAAAGATGTTAGAAATGACTGTCTCCAATAATTCCACAACCACTTTCCCAACAAGAAGCGCAAAGCTCCCTGAATCCCCTCAATTCAAATAGGCGGCTTTCTACCACTCAATTCGTTCATCGTGTCTTTATAACAATCTGGTTGGAATGGCTTACTATGCATACGCGTACGTAATGAATGGATGGTCACGCGCGGCGGTGATTGTATATTTCGTATCACTGTGAGTGGGGGTGGAGGAGGTATTAGTAGTGGAGATGTTTTGTTATTTGTGGTTATGATTTGGTACCGAGAGATCTGGGTATATCTATTTTGTTGCAATTGTCAACACACACACAACAACTGTAATCCTGTGTTGATTTGCCAAGTGAGTTTCAAACCGAAAAGCTCACATACATCGCTATGGTGTACAACATTTTGGCAGTGATAAAATTGAATGATCAGATGGTCATTAATAAACTCTGATTTAGTAAGCCTGATACATAGTTACTGGTTTGCTTGTCACCGGTTTTGGTATCATTCCAGATCGGGGCTGTTTGGAAAGATTCTGTGTCATACAATTTTTTTTTTCGTCAGGCAGTAGTTTGAATTCCATTGATGGCTGTTGTCGCGGCATGTCTACAGGCATAATCTCAACCGACGCTATTCAGGACGCATTGCAACGCGCTAAAGAGGTATGCTAATTTCGTATTCTCAAAAATTGAGATCACATTAATGAAGTGCAGTGTTATGCATTCTGGAGTATACCGTATAAAGTTTTTCGGTATTTATTACTGTTATTATTTTGATTAATTCCCTGCAGAAGTTTTCGTGATATTTTTTTTCATCTAGATCAACCTTTCTGTGTCCGCTTATTTTGGGAAATGACTAGGCAAAACTGAGTTCGAAAATCACTGCATCACTTACCGTTATTGCCATCATATAGTACTGTTAGCGATGAAATTGAAATATTTGCACATTTAACAAATGCATTGTTACAAACGTTTTGTTTTGTTGGATGAAAATATAATAATACATTTGAATAGGCCAAGTTGAAAACTTTTCGTCTCCTTATATTCTGTAAAATATGGGACTGTGGTTATCAGTTCAAGGATGTTATTGCTTAGGTTTAGGAACAGAGGAATGATTGTGTTGTTTCGTAGTTTATATCACTTTTTGCATTCAATCTACAGGACCAATGATTTTTCTCAAATTTTATAGACTATATTGCTATATTTTCACGTATTTGCTTGAAATTGATTTTGAGACGAATGCGAAATCACCGCTAGATTCTGTTTGTTAATCAGAGTAGTGAATTATATACATATATTTATTTATTTATTATATGCTTTGCAAATCGCCACCCTTCTATGGACAGGAAAAATTGTAGCTTTTCGAAAAAACGAATGTAAAACTTTGTTCTCATTTCATTTTGGGTTGCTTCGGAAAATTTCCCATTCGGAGATGTAGTGTAAAAAATTCCATGGTTTTACAATGTGGTACGGTTATGTTGACCCACTATGAAAAGATTAACATCCAAAGTTATGACATCAAATTGGACTGAATGCCTTCATAATGATGATGATAATGATGATGCCATTTGGTTTTGGAAATTTGTTGTCTGGAATGAAATAAAAATATTTGCCATATGTGCAGTACTTCGATTTTTATCGTAAGTTTGATGTTACGTGACATTTTTTTAGAATAAGAGGATGCTTATTATGTTTTTATTCATGATATCATAAGTGATAATTGATTGTACATGCATTTATAGTATATGTTCATATTTTGCTTGTTATGTTTAGCTCGCTGCTTCTTCACATTCGAATCCGCAGAAACGACCGAATTCGGACGATTCATCTAACCGTACGTACCAGTGATTCACTTGTTATTTTGCATACATTGATGCGTTAAACAGTCACACTTTCATATTAGGAACTTATTGCGTTGAGACGTTCCGTTTTTGACGGTGTAATACGCGTTTATACGGTATTTCATTGCAATTTATGAAATTTTTTAAAGTGAAGTCTTCAATTTTCATAAATAGGTACATAAATCGATTACGTTTTCTCTATGGATTTTGGTTGTTGATGTGAATTATTTCGATTAATTTGAAACGGCTGATTTTCAACTTGTCAATTTTATCAGTGCAATTGTGCATATTATTTAAAATCTATATTTGCAGTGCGTATATTATATTCTTGGTGTTTTGCGTGATGGTATACAAATAAAATAGCTGAAATTTAATATGCAATTTTGCGTTTTTGGAATGGAGAATTCGTTTGCATTTTTTTTAGTGTATCCAACCAAAAGGTTAATATCACTGGAAACACAATGGACATGGGCGGGAGCATGCAAATCTCAACACTTGGAGGTCCGGGTCACGTTGCTGCAGGCGGTATGCCGCCAGTTGGAGGTGTTGGAGAAGTTGTTATGGAAACAATGGAGGTTCCGGACCACTGTGTTGGCCTTGGAATGGTAGATGTTTTCTGTAGTCTGTGCTTATTTACTTTTTTTTTTTTTTTTTTCGCTTGACAAATTTTGAATTTATCTTTAATTACAAACAATAATGTGATGTTATTTCTTATAGTGATTGGCCGTGGTGGTGAACAAATATCACAGATTCAGTCACAGACCAACTGCCGCGTACAAATGTCACCTGAATCAGATGGGAACAATGTGCGCCAATGTACTTTACAAGGCAGTAAAATGTCCGTAGATCGCGCAAGGGCAATGATAAATGAGGTTGATTCTTGCTTCGTTATGTTTCTTTTCTTTTGCGTTTCATATTAGTAGTAGGAAATGTATTTAGCTAATGGTACGGTGTAGTTCTGCCAATTTTCTGTTATATTGAGTTGCATAATTTTCTGCAATTTTCCGCTTATAGAATTTAATCTTTTTAATTATTGCAGTCCGTTTCTCTCGGTGGTTTTGCCCTTTTGATTTTTCTAGATTATTGGTCAAGTCGCGTCATTTACTAATAGTTATCCCCTACTGTATAGTATTTTGCTTTTTTTATCGAACTTTGAAATTTAGCACTATGCAATACTAAAAAAAAGAAATGAAAAAAAAAAATGAAAAAACTTTAAAAAAAATTTTGCATGAAAATTTAGCATACTAAATTAGTCTACATTTTAATGCTGTTCTATGTTTTTTTTTTTTTTTTTTTCTTGAAGATTTTGAAAGTAGAAGGAGTTACAAGGTATTACATCAACATATTTATAACGTAGAATTATAATGATGTAATTTCTGTGCTTGCTTTCAGGTAATAGCTCGAGCAGGAAATCGTCCTCCGCCGAACCGAGCAGGCCATTTTGATGGTGGTATACCTGTTGGTACTGGCCGTCAAATAACTCAAGAGATGTTTATTCCTGGTGCAAAATGTGGCCTCGTAATTGGAAAAGGAGGAGAAACAATCAAAAATATTCAGGTGCGTCAATAGAAATGTTTGACATTGTCGATCTTGTAATCTTCGTGGACTACTTTCTATTTTTGCCACCTGTTATTATGTTTCAGGAGCAAACTGGTGTTAAAATGGTTATGATACAAGAAAACCAAGAAAGTGGAGGACAACCAAAACCTTTGCGTATTACTGGTGATCCTGAAAAAGTAGAGAATGCTCGGAGAATGGTTGAAGAAATTTTGCAGTCGCGTGAAGACCATCCGCCTGGACATTTCGGTTTCCCTGGATCATTCGGAATAAGCGGTGGACAGCGTTCGATTGGCGAAGTAAGATTTTTTATTTTCCGGCTGGCTTAATGGCAATTACATGAGTTTACAATGCGACAGCATCCACCTGTTTTACTGATAATACAACTATATTTTAGGTAATTGTTCCTCGTGCTTCGGTTGGAATGATTATTGGAAAAGGTGGAGAGACGATTAAGCGTCTTGCTGCTGAATCAGGAGCTAAAATCCAGTTTAAACCTGATAGTTTGTTTCTTAACTCTTGATTAGGGCAATAATGTATTATTTTCCTGATATTCAAATTTTTAATCTGTTCTCTGGAAAGCATTTTATATGAAGTGATAAAACGTATTCCATTTACTACTAAAGCAAAGGAAGATGAAAACTGGGAAGTTTTGCATATCGATTTATTGCAGATGATCAGACAGCGCAGGAACGATGTGCTGTCATTCAGGGCACTGCTGAACAGATTGCAAAAGCGACGCAGTTCATTTCCGAACTCGTCAAAAAGAGTGGTGCTGCAGGTGGTGCGGAGATGTTCTACATGCACGTTCCATCGAACAAAACGGGATTGGTAATTGGTAAAGGAGGAGAAACTATTAAACAGGTAATCTTTGTTCTTTTCGTAGTTTTTTTAATAGCAGATCATTTCTGTCTTTTCAATACCAATGCATCTATGCTTTTTCTTCTTTTCATTTTGCGTTCATCTTTCAAAGAAAAATGAATAATTTGGTTATGTTGTGATGATTGATGTATGTAATATGTTCAGTTGTTTTTTTTTTTTGTTTGGGACTCAGGTCTTTTTTAGTTATTTTCTCAGACACACTGCTAAATAAATTGTGGCGCTTGTGTGGTATGAATAATAAACTTATTTATAAATTTCATAGGTAACTGAATAACTGATTAACATCATAGACTTCCAGAACTCTTTTAAGATATGTGCGGAAAGTGGAGCACATGTTGAATTATCACGAGATCCGCCGCCGAATGCATCCGAGAAAGTTTTTATTATAAAAGGAACACCTTATCAAATCCATCATGCACAACATATTATTCGTATCAAGGTATTTCATTTCCAGAAATTTTTCTTAATCCTGCTACCTTTCTATGAAATTCATTATTTGGAAGGAGGATTGTCTTTAATCAGTGTAGCATGTGTATGACATTGGGTCATTTGAAGTCTGCCTGGGTCTTGCTGTATCATAGTTGAAGGGAAATTGCTCTAAAAAAAAAATGTTTTTTTAGGTTGGTGATATTGCTCCAGGAACGCCAGTACCACAGTTTCATGGACAGGGTGGTCCAGGAGCGGGTGGTGATGCATTTGGAGTTGGACATAACACTGTATCAAGTGCTCCTCAAGGATATGGTAATGGTAACGCACAATTTGCTGGCGCTGGCATTGGTGGGCAAGCAGGAGCGCAATGGAACACCACTTTTGGTTTGGATATGAAGAGATTTTGTTACTGGATAAAAAAGGTGCACGTAATACAATAATTGTATAACAATGATGCTGCGGTTTTAGGTCATCAGCAAAGTGATCCCGGACAAGCTGCTTGGAATCAGCAGTATTACGGACAACAAGGACAACAGCAACCTGGTTATCAGCAGGGGGCGTACGCTACCCAATATCAGCAACCAGCACAACTGCAACCACAACCAGCGCAGACAAGTGCAGCTCCAGCAGTAAATCCGCAAACAGGTATGCAATATGCGATAACAAAGAAAGGAATTTTTGGGTTTTTATGGGAGATTGGGTAGATATGGAAATGTCTCCTAATTGTAATAATTTTAGCAACATCTTTGTGATAGCACATTTGACTTATGCTATCTAATACACCCATTGTTAATTTCGTTCATAAATTTCAAAATTTTATGAGGATTATTGAAGCAGAGTACTAAGGATATTTTTCGTTATTTCGCTGTTCAAAGTATTTGAAAGTTTTAAGCTGTACATTTCATTACATCCATTATTTTTCAGGTCAACCTGATTATAGTGCACAGTGGGCAGAATATTATCGTAGCATGGGTATGCATGAACAGGCAGCCGTTATCGAAAATCAGCTGAAGCAAAATGCTGCTGCTGCTGCTGTTGCTGCGCAACAACCAGCTGCACAAGCAAGACCTCAACAACCGGTAAGTTTTCCAAATATTTTTTTCTGTGGTTCATGAAAGAAATATAGATTGCTACTTTTTTTGTAGGAAAATTCTTTGGAAACACTGTAAGTGGAATAAAAATGGGAATTTTTATCAACTGTATGTCATATTATAATTAAACCACATTGTTTGTAGGGATATGGTGTTTACGGTGCTCAACCAATTACAGCACAAAATCAGTTCAGTTACGGAACACCGCAAGCACAGCCTCAGGGTGGTTATCAATTCCAGCAACAATATTAAAACAGTAATGATGCAAATTGAAAATTGGCATTTTTATTACTTTTTTTTCTTTTCTTTTCCTTAAATTCTTCTTGTTTGACACTTTTAAACGGAACAGGTCATCAATTCTTCGAGAAGTACAACACAGTGTTTGCTATTGGATAATATATAATTTTAATGCGGTGTTCGCTTTGTAGTTCTTTTCATACCATTTCTTTAGTAGTATATGCCATTCATAATTAACAGACAGAAGTTTGGGCTCTTTTATGTTAGTTTTTGCATATAAGAATAGCTGTTTTGGATAGATTACTTAGACAATATTCAATTTTAGTTTGTAATAGAATTTAGGCCACTTCTGCTTTGTTTCTTTTGATTATCGTGGACACATGGTTACCCTTTTCATCAGTTGGTGGTTCGTTTTTTTTTTTTTTGTATTATTATTGTGGCTGAGGAAATATGTTTCGAATATTCAGGAGATCTCCCTATGCTTTTTTTTTCTTGAAAAAAATGCTATTGCTATACTGCTTTGTATTCAATAATTCTCGCGAAATGCGTTGTTCAAATTGTTTTTTATTTTTTCATCTCCCCATTGTTTTTTCTTTTAGATTATTTGGTGGATTTTACATAATAATTTTTTGTTTTGCGAAGCTAAAATTGCTTGTGCTCTGATAATGTATTTCCAATATATTATTATATTTGATGATTGTTGAGTTATTTTTTGAATTTTTCAATCATGATTTCAATAGCATTTTCACTGCCCGTATAGATGTCTTTTTGGATTTATGACGATAATAATGTTATCACCGGTATGTTGATTATTCAAATGATTGTTTTGACACTACGTTGTTAATTGCTGTTGCCTTCTGGTCATCCTCATACATCCGTTCATTTTACTTCACTATTTTCATCATTAATTGATGACTGTTGCTGATGATAATAATTCTATTGATAGGGAATCATGATTTTGGGTGTATTTTGTTTTGCTGACTTTTTTTGTCCTTTTTTTTCTCTCTGAGACATCTCCACAAGTACTATACATGAAGAATATCACTAGTAAAAGAGAATATGAAAAAGGATTTTTTCTTTCTGATGATTGACCTGTTCTGGTAAAATATATATATATATATATATATATATATATATATATATATATATATATATTATATGGCATACAACATGCTACTGATTGATGTATAACGATATCGTAATTATGATCAAAAATCCATTTTTCAAAGCTATACGGGTGTTGCTGTTATTTGCTCTTGTTTTCGTTCCCTCTATGCTTTTTTTTACACACAAATTTCTTTTTAACCATTTACTGATTACCATTTAATAGTGCAAAAAATTTTTTTTTCTTAAAAAATGCGAACGCCTATGTATGGTGGGGACATAATATATGTTATGTGTCTGATTGTTCATTTTCATTTGTGTTTTCTATTGGTTGGCTTATTTTGTTAATTTCATATGTACGACACTGTGTTGTTCACTTCTCGAAGAAGTCACTTTGTTCAATTTTTTAACATCATTTTTTTTCCTAGTAATTATCTCTAATTACAAATCCTTTTTTTCTTTTCTCTTTCTTTCAGTCTCACCTTAAATTATTTTTTTCTCATATCGCCGTAAATTCCTTTCACTTTTCTTTCCCTCTTTCCCTTCAGGTTTTATGCAATTCACAGGGAGCTCTCTGATTATTTATGCTATATCATTTGCATAAATATTTTTCTTCATGATAGCCTCCTTAAATGTTGAACTTTTTGACGATGTTTCTTTTATTTTTCTCCTAGTTATTTTTATATTCTTTGAGTTTTTTTTGGAAGTTTCATTTTCTGCATATTGTTAGGTGTTATCTTTTAATTAATTTATCCACTGCATACCTTTTATGTTCTTTTCCCTGCGTTTTTTCATTATATTTGATTTTTTTTCTGCTCTTCACTCGTTTGTTTCCGCCCTCCTCTCCCCAAACCGTGTTAAAATGTTTTTCCAATTTAATTGTAATTGTTCATGCTCCTTGTTGGTTGCAGTTTTTCCTTCCTTATTTTGAAGTGTTTTTCGTCCATGAACAATAATAAAAGAAATGAAATTGATGACGTGTCGAACGGTTTTCAGTTGCTAATCAATAGAAATATAAGTTATAATCTTTAAGCTCGTCGGAATGAAATGCTGGAATCCAATTGGTTTCAGTTAGAATAATCTCGGAGGAATTCTTGCAAAATACGAAATTAGTTAATGATTTAATTCTTAATACTTAAATTTTGAGCATTTCTTAAACTTCATAAGGCGCTTATAATATCATCGTCATCGTATTATCTCGAAATCAATTAGTGTTGTTACATGAAGAATACGGAAAGAACCACTAGTGATATTTTAATATTGATAATTTGATAAGAGATACACAAAAGCATTTCAATGATGCAAAGGTTAATTTGAGTTGTTGGTCGTATTGCTTGAACTTTTTCTGTTTAAAAACTTTCTTATTTGAAAATCTCCAGAAATCGGAACATGAAAGCAGTAAGGAACATTTTTGTTTTACATATATATAGCAGATTTTAAAATTCTTAGTTCTAATGTTTTCCGGTTTCCGAATCCCACAGATTCGGAAACCGAAACAACATAAAACACCTGAAAAAAGTAATATTACTACGTGTGTAAAAAGAGCACAAAAAAATAAATAATCAGTGAAAGGTTGTGAATAGCAATCGATCTTAAACTTAAAAAGCAAAAAATTTATTGGACTATTTTGTATGCATTATTTCAGGAATAGATGACAAAAATATCATAATTTTTAAATTAATTTTGTTCTACTATAGTGAAATTTAGAAGGAAAACTCTATGCTGCGTTTCTTTCTTTTCTTTTTTTTTTGCTACAACAATAATTACTGATTGTTTGGAAAAGTTAAAGTAACTTCTAAGCAAGAGATTTATTTGATAAAATTTATTTCATTATTCGATACGTAGCATTTACAATGAAATATGGAATAGTTTTTAGCGATCCAATTAAGTTCTAAAATTCTTTTTTATTTTTAAATATTTGAATTGAAGATATATTTCGTCATTATTTCTGTTTTCTAATATTGAGAAATGAAAAATCTAACATTGCCTAAATTGGAATTTTGGAATTTATATCAAAATTTTCTGTGTTAAATTTTTGGTTTCATTTTTTGTTCAACAAAGTTCTATATGGTTAGTTGTTCCATTCAAAAAAAAAATTTTTTTAAACACCTTTCACTTGATGGCTGATAATCTTCCCTTCCTAATTTCCGAAAATCCCACTTGAAGAACATACGATAGTGAATTTATTTTGAGTTACATTCAGGAAGATTTGATAATTTATAATAAATTGCATATTAGTTTGCAACTTTATAACTTGGAAATATCGCAGAAGGACTGATTATTTCACCAATTCTTTCCTAGACAAAGTAATCATTTACAAGGGGATAGTTTTAATGGAATTATCATATTTAAATAGTAATAGTAGAAGCAATGAAGAAATTTGTATAAACTGAATTAAGAAAGGCTTTTTTTTTGTGCAATTAAATATGTATTTATCATTTCATATCTTCTAAGAAGTTTTAGCGGGTGGTCATTTGTAATTTTCTTGTTTTGGTGCCATATTACTTCGATAATATCATATGCCATATTAATAATCGATTCTTTAAGGTCTGTAAATTCTATTCCAAGAATATCTTTTGCCTGTAGTTTAATCATCTTAGCAACTGTCAATTTTTATGCTATTATTGAGATATTATAACCTCGTATGCTGTAATCTGAAATCAATGAGATCATCAATTATTAGTATTATTGAGAGCCAGAAAAAAAGATAATTAATAAGATTATGATAAATTATAATTTACGAGAGAATTATCGAAATGTACTTCATTGCCAAAACGACTTAGTATTTACCGCTTTGTTTTGTTGCTGAACAATGAATAAAGCCATGCTATCGGATATGGCACTGTAATTCTTGGGATACTGTAACCTGAAATTAATGAGATTATCAATTTATTGAGACAATCATAAGTGATAGGTGGAATATCAATGGAAAATAAATCTATTTAAACCCTGCGATGAGAATTCATCACGTAGAACATTGGCAATATCCAGAAACCAGAAACTTGGTTGATAACTTAATAAAATTCGTAATCCATCACTACGTGGTTCTCGCATAGCACGTGCTTGTGCTTGTGCTATATCAGGTAGGTCTATTAAACCAAATTGAACTGCTGGTACTGCGGGAATTTCATTGTTCAAAAAACGACGTATTATCTAAAAAGAAAAAAAAAAGACTGAATTTATACTAATCAATTTTAGTGGAATAACATCGATATCACAAATGATCAAATATAATTTAATAACATTGTTTTGCTAGCAAAAGAAAAACTTAAGTCAATTTTCTTTTTTTTCTGTTGTTTTATAACTTTTTAGTAAGGATAAGTTTACATCGATACTCATTCCTTGTACATTATAAAGGAGAGGTCCAACAAGTGCCGAATTGATTACAGTTAACTTGAACTTAGTGTCTGGAATTTGAAAAGTAATTGGATGATTTTGAGTTTAAAAAAAAATATCTGAAAAAATTTAAAAACCATTATTTCATCAATGATTCGAATTCATTTGTTCCACAGTTTTATTTAACACAATAAACGACAAAGGATGGATTTTTTAAGTACAAATTGTAAATGAGTTATCAGAGAGGACAATTCAGATGTAGTAAAATTAATCTCTAGTAAAAAACAAAATCCCATGCAGCTTTTTCTGCAAGTGTTTTACTTTTCATATAATTATTTACATTTTCGAATCGATATTACTCCAATCATTTTCGTTGAATGTTCGCGTCATATCCGTGAGCTTCTACAATGTCAAATAATCTCAGTGCATTTGTTTAAGTTTTTTCCTCATTACGAAGTGATTTTCATTTCTTGTCGTTAATTTGTGAAGAGAGAGAGAGAAAAAAAAAAAAAGAAAACAACTCTTAAACATTTTTATTTTATTGTTGTTTATAATGTTTAAAATCAATTAAGACCGATCGATGTATGCACAATGACCTAATTGCTAATTTGTATTTTCCTTTCGCCATTTCATATGAAATAAAATTCGAATGGACTAATGACATTATTTAATTATTCAAATAATCAAAATTATTCTTGTTATTTTGTGCTACTTTTTTTTTCGAGAAATTAATTTTCAAAAATTTTACCATTAAGAGCAGCGCAAGAACTAGTAACAACAACTTTTTTTAGAGATGAATTTGATGCAGCAGCTCGTAATACTCGAAGAGTACCATCTACTGCAGTTGAAATGACTGATTCATGAGTGACAATTGGAAAAAGACTCGCAACATGCAAAACATAGGTGCAATTAGCTGTTGCTCTGAAAAGATTAAAAAACAGTGAAAATGAATGGAAAAAAAAAATGAAATGAACTTGAAACGAATGATTAAACATTCTTCAATGAAGTAGGCCAGGAAGAAAATTTAGAATTTTTAGCTCTCTCTCTCTCTTTTTCTAGAAAAGAAAAACTCTTTCTAGAAAAAGGGAAAAACAAAGAGAGAGAGAGAGAAAGGAATTGATAACAGGTTGATTAATTAATAAAAATGATAAAATAAATAAGAAATGTTGAAAGAACAGAACGAACTGAGACCATCCTTGATCATTTTCCAAATCTACTTCAACCAATTCCAAACATTCAGCTGCTCCTTCTAGTTGTTTCAGTGGATCAATTTTGAAATGATTATTAAGGTCACGTACAGTATAATTTTCCTTTAAAAGTTGATGAACACAACAAATGTAAAACCTGATGTTCCGGTAACAAGCACTCCTGTAATATTTATCATTCTTAATTTTTTAAATTAATCTTTATTCAACTTATTAGATTGAAAATGTCTAATTAACTTACTATTAATATTTTATTATCTCTTTTCAACAAAAAAAAAAAAAACACAGCATTCACTTCACAAAATTGGACCCGTCAATTTTATCACTTCGATACGACATCGAATGACTTAAGGACGTGAACAGCTACTGATAACATCCTTCCGTGAATTCACGATAACAGAACTTACACCAACTGATAATAGATGTCAACGCTGGGACATAAGTTTCACATAATGTTGCACTCGGTTTACTGCGCCTCAATTTTATCGGAAGGACTGGGGTTAGATTAGTTCCTCTCATCGTTGGGGTTAATTCTACCTTATTCGTCGCTGTTCTTATCATCCGTATCTATTTGTTCCTCTTGTTTAAATTCAAACTTTAAAAATGTCAATTCTCTGTTTTTTTTTTACCACAAGTACTCTACTTGCATGCAGAAATTAAACGCACTTTTTGCATCAGAGGTTTTTGTACGAAAACTTTGTTTTCTTCTATGTTTCTTTTCGTTCACAATTAAGAGTTGCTGAGTTTTTTTTTTTTTTTTTTCAAAATTTTATGCTTATATGAATTGTTTGTCTTCCATTCATTATGATGTTGCATTTCAGAATAATAAAATCGATGCAAGTGAAATTGATATGAAATATTGGTGTCAACTTTTACTTTTCGCAGCGTCCTGTATGCTGGTTTTTTTTTTTTGATTTTACTGTCATAGAAGTTGAAATTTCCTTTCGAACAGAGAAATTCTTGTCTCCATTTCAAACGAAGAAAACTCATATATATTGTAGGCAGAAGGGGAAGAGGTTCAATGTACCATTCATGGATTAGCGAAAGGTGAACATGGTGGTAAGGTTAGGTGTTGATATTGGATGTTTTAACTAGGAATATGACTGGAGAGAAATTCATTCAGTGAAAATCAGTTGTGGTGAACGACTATCGGATCAGATCTATCTAGATTTGATTGGTGGAAGATACAGTTGCTTTCGATTGTTGAATGGAACACATGAAATTGGGTGTGGTTGTAAGTACTTGTATTGTTTAAAAGGAGATAGGCGTTGCAAGAAATGATCAGAGTAATTACTTATGGAGCTCTGTATTTGGTACCATTTCAGCTGCAGAGGAAGGAAACGAAGGTGTTGTCGTTTATGCAAATAATGCTGATGAGTTAATCAATCTTATAGCAAGTCTTGATTCTGAAGATCGCATTATCACAGCTTTCGATATATTTCTTTTAAATGAGTAAGTTTCAGGCTGTATTTTTTAGTTTCTGTTTTTTTTTTACGAATAATACTTTTAAATAGGATACATACTGTTGCTGCTGCAGGGAAATAATCAGAGTATTGAAGGACGATAAAGTACGTGGTGTGCTTCTTTTACGCAATGAATCTTCTATCAGCGACATGAAACGACTTGATGTCGGATTTTCGGAAGATGCCGTTTGCCCTAACGAACAATTTGGTACAACTTTTTATTGTTTCGTATTTCCCACCCAGGTCTATAATTTATGGTCAGATGAAGTAACAACTGAGTAATAGTTAAGTTCTTGATAATTTTTCTATAGAACTGAATGAGCTCCACATTTTTCAGATATTAGTGGGAAATGTGAAAATCGTTGGAATGAACACGGTGCACTGTTGCCGGAAGGCTTTCGATTCATCAATTGGAAGAAACCAATTTTTGTTATTGAAAATTACACTGAAATTGACATCATCAGAAATTTCGTCAGTCGGTTTGCTATGCTGTATATTTACCATTTCTTCTGAAAACAGCTAAAATATGATTGAGTCATACGTTCATAGATCTCATGAATTTCAATATCTCTTCTACATCAGTCAACCAAAAAGTATTTATTGCAGTGTTATGAAGCATTCAACAAGAGGAATTTGAGAGAAGATGTACTTTGTTCAGCTCGCATGAAGCATTTCATGCGAGCAGCGGGAAATGCTCAAATATGTCTCCAACGCCAAAGGCTGTTTTACGGCTTTTCAGATTCATTGTTAGTATTCGGAAAAGTATTTTGATTTTGTTGCTTGGGCTTATACATTTCGCATTACTTGGTTTCAGGATCTCTTTATGTGACCCATTGGCAGACAAAAATTTGTTTGCAACAATTCCAGCACTTACGAAAAAGTTCAAGCCGAAAATCTTGATTCTCTCCGCCAGAGTATACTTTCTCATATTTGTTTTCTTTCATTTTATTTGATGAATCTCAAAAGATGGGATGACTACAGAGGCAGTGTTTGACGATGTTGTAGATGGATTCCTTCAGTTCGTTCACAGAAGCAGCTGTTGGTGAGGTGTCTGTTCTCACATCACTCGTTAGTCTTCTAGCGGTTGCTAAAACGATTGCAAATCATTCCACTGAATTTGAAGCTGTAGCACAACGCAATGGGAGGGCCGTCATGTTTGCATTTTTTCACGGAGTATGTTCTTGAATTTATAACTAGGAATGCTTCATTACTATTTTTTGAATTTAACTAGTATAATATGAGTTATGGTCATGTTAGTGTAACTAAAATTCTGCCATTTGTTAGTATAGTCATACCAGTATATTTTTGTCATAGAATGCAAGAGATTTTAATGCAAATAAATGATTTCAGGAATCGCTGGGTTATATCGGAAGTAGTGCCACAGTAAATGACATCATAAAAGGCGAATTTCCTCTAGATATCCGGTTAACAGATATCGATAGCTTTATTGAGGTGACTATAAAGATTGTGAACATGACAGCAGAACTGTTTTAATAAGGTTGACTAACAGACCATTATTATACATGCACAGCAAATTCAACAAGCAGTAATAGGTCAAAAAAATCTAGCATTAAAGTTTACCTTACATTGTATTACTTTCACTTGTGATTATTTTGCAGGTGCAGCAGCTTGATGGTTCAGAACCAGTGTTTTCTGCTCACATCGATTCAAAGGCTTACGATACTCCTGAAAACAAACTGAAAGTGTGTGGAACAGCAAATTCTTAGAGAAATATGTTTATTCCCATCTCTGATGGGGCTAAAATCCATTTTTTCATGCTATTTTACATCCAGTGAGTAGGATCCGATTAGGTTGTCCTAAGTTAAGCGATGACTTTGTGGTATATATTTTTTTAAATGTTAGTTGGGTTGCGTAATTATGAGAATTATGTAGTCCTTCATTTTCATTTTGTTAGATGGATGTTACTCTAATCATTTCAGGTGCAAACTTTGCTAGACGCAGCTAAATCGTCCTTTAAGCAAAGTAAAATAAATATCGAGAGGAGGACTGGATTACCACCCTCTTCTTATCAATCATTTTTGAAGGGAAAACGTGACATAGCTGGTTTTGTTCTTCGGCCGTTTAGTCAACAATATATTTATAAGTTAGTAGGAATTGTTCAGCTGTGATAGCCTAATAAAAATGTGCACTTGCGAAAAATAAAAATTATTTATTAATATAGTTAGTAACTTATATTGTCGATCTAAAACTGAATAAAAAAAAAAAAAAAAAACCAACATACTATCAGTAATCGTTAGTAATCGTTATATATTTTCATCGTTATAATTCATTGGAGGATCAAAATGTGTTCAAAAATGGAATTACCAAACTACAAACTCAAGTTGTTGCTGCTGCGAGTGTTGTTATAGGGGTTGTAACACGATTTCTCACTGGTGGTAATGAAACAGAAACTGTTTTATTCAATCAATATGATATAGATGAACTATATGTAAGCAAAGATTACTTATCAGATTTATTCAGTTTCTTCTATATAGCACATCATAGCACTAATAACGAATATTTTATTATAGGTAGCTGTTCTTCTGAATTGTTTCTTGAAATATTCTGATTGACATACGTGTAACTTTTTCAAAAGTATCACGAAAGGCGACAGTCGGTTTAAACATTTTATTCAATCCAATCTTTTTTTGTAGTTTTTGCTTCCATTACGACTTCATCTTTTATATAATAGTTGTTTACAGATGTAAACTCAGTTGGAAAATTACCATTTTATTGACTTGGCTAAATTCTCCAATCTTTTTGAAACTTTACAACGAAAGAAACGTATATATCGGTAGGAAGGATTTTTTACTCATTAATTCGCACTCTTATGACTATGTTAATTGTTAATGTTCTTGGATCCAAGAATGCTGTTAATGTTCCCACAAAATTCTGTGTGGCCGTGTTCTTCACTACATAATAACCAAATGATTTTTGACAAGAATTTTTCAGATAAGAGAAAGTATATTTGTCATTACCCCGGATGACGGAAAATTACAAAGAATATGTAATACATAAGAAAACGCACGGTCAGCCCTTCACCTATTAATGCAAAGTGCCCGGTTGTGGGAGGACATTCCACTACTATTCATCATTTCGCAGTCACAAACAGACGCATGAACTTAATCCTCAGTGCGAGGGCTGTGGCAAATTCTTCGCCACCAGGAATACACTGCAATATCATAAGAGGATCTGCCAAACAGAATCTCGTTAGTTTGCAAATTTAGCAAAATTTTAAACACATATGTGAGCCTGAAATGGAGTGCCTGTGAAATGTACTATGGAGCACCTGTGACCGCTGGACAATGATAGTTGATACAACGGAAAATTCACAATTACATTTTGTTGCAAGGCTGTTAAAAGGACTTAAATTTATACTGCCGTTTATATCCACCTCTTTCACAGATACCATACCTTCTAGCAGAAATTCCTTCAGTTTTTCCTTGAGAAAATTAGTCGTGAACTTTGTTGTATATCTGGGACATTGTAACTCTTTCCACAGTTAAGGCACTGCATCGTAATGGTTTCATGTGTATGCGTAATTATTATTCCAAATAAATCTTCCTTCCCTTGAGCAATAAAACTTACATCAGCAATTAATAGCTCAATACTTGGCATAATTTCATCTGATACCAAGGTCCACTTGCCTCGGTAGGCTAACATTCATCTCAATCCTGTTCACCACTCCAAGTGCAAGAAACAAAAATTCGTTTTTCATTAATTTTAAATTATTAAAATAGAGGGTAGCAAAACTTCGGCTTTAAATAAAGGAGTTTGTTACTTTTAATAACTCTAAGGAGAAAAAGAAATCCCCATGATTTTAGCTACTCTATTTACCAAAACTTATATCCAATGCAAGATCGATACATATATATGCTCAAAAATAATTAAGCAATTTCTTGTGATCCAAATTATTTGAAATGGAATGTATTTCATTGATTATTTCACTGAAATAATATTTTTATGGTTTATTAGATTACTTAATTAGCTGCCAAACACCATAATAAAATACCAATTGCAAAAACAAATATCTTAAATGTTTTTTAGACAAACGAAGCTATGAATGCCTCTATCCTGGGTGTGCTGTGATCGCGAAAAGTTACATCGAATATATAACACATAGGAAGACACATGGTCAACCTTTTATCTATGAATGCAGAGTACCCGGTTGTGGGCGAACATTCGACTACGGACCATCATTTTGCAATCACAAGCAAACGCATGAACCTCATCCTCAATGCGAGGATTGTGACAAATTCTTCACCACCAGGAATGCACTGCAACATCACAAGATGATCTGCCGAACAAAATCTCGTTAGTTTGCAAATTTAGCAAAATTTTAAACACATATATTAGCCTAAAATAGCATTGCGTGTGAAATGTGTTGCGAAACATTTGTAACCACTGAGTTGACAATACAAAGTTTATTTAACGCATTCATACTGTATATTTATTTCTTTTCATATCGTGCACTTAATGCGTAGCAGCTGCCCATGACCTAAGAACGAACTGTTTAAAAATATGTTGACAATGGTGACAATAACGCTTTAAGATACATCAACAAACATCGAAAATATCAACAGAGAAAGAAATAAAAAAAAAAAAAAAACACTTTTAGTCAAATTATTTTGTTTTCCTTAAACGAAAAACATGCAGAAAAGCATATCAATCCCCCACAAAGCCAAATACTATTAATCATTGTTTTAGCGCTATAAAACAACTAAAAATTTTCATTCTAGAAAATGAGACACAATTTGGGCATTCTTCACAAGCATGAGAAAAGGCGTGTAACAATCAGACGTTTTCGAGACATCAGAATGCAGTGACCGATTAATGATTTATTTTTTTTCTCCATTTAATATTCCATGAATATCGCAGAAACGCATAAACAACAAACTGACAGTAAAATTCGAATTCACAGCAAACGAGTTATCATGCCAAAAGATAATAAAAAATACGTAAGTGAGAAGAAAGTATTCTCTCAATAATATGTAACAAAAGTGGGCGAATACGAGGTGAGAAGTGGTATTATAAAAAAAAAAAAAGCTAAGATAGATTTGTAGCATATTTTTATAATTGTTGATTATTAATTAACTGACTTAAGTTCAATATGCAAAAAACTGTTGAACTTTATTTTATTTGCATTATACTTGCTTTGCTCACATTCTGTTGAGGATATTTGACAATTTATGCAAAAAAAAAAAAAGTTTAATAAATTCATTCTGGAGCAACCTTACAATGTAAAAGTTAACAATATTTGTAATTAGCAATGATTTCAGCTTATTTTTGACGATAAAATTAATTTTAATCACAAATTTCGGTATGGATCTCTAGAAAATTTTGACAACTTCTAAGAGTTTTTGTGAATTTAATACTGAAAAAAATTTTAATTTTTTTTAAATTCCATTTTAATTAAGTGAAAAACAGTACTGGAAAAATACAAATCATTTAAAAATAAATATAATTTGAACTTAATTGATTACATTTATTTGCATTGCCCTTGATGCGCATACATTATGTCGGGGATATTTGACAATTTATGCATAAAAGAAAGTTTTAAAAAATAACTTTGGAGAAATCATTCAATGTAGAAATTGATAAAATTTGCAATTAATGATGATTTTAATTTTTTTTTCTGACATTAAAATTAATTTTATTTACAAATTTAATGTTCGATTAGTTTGCACAATAAATTTAATAATTTTATGGTTCTTGAATAGTAGCAAAATCGAAATTTCATTGAATTATGGAAGAATTATGGATTTTTTATGCATTTTGCTTAAAAATCGACATGATCTTCTAGTTTTTGGGAAGTTTTTTACCCCAATATAATTATAAAAACAATTAAATATCAATTATAAATGATTAAACGGTAAATAAATCATAAAATACAATGTTTATTAACCTAAATCAAGAGAAAATTAGATGGAACAATACATATTTCAATCAAAAAAAGAAAAAAAAAATGAATTTGACTATTAATTTTAACTATTACAATGTATGATAGTAAAATTACATCAGCACAAGCACTTTAAAAAAACATACTTGTGTTCATGATTTAACCGTTCTTGTAAAACAACACGGTATTTATTGTTTAATAGTTGGCCATATAACTAAGGACAGATAAATAGCAGGACCAAAAAGTTTAGAAGATATGGTGGACGTAATGCTTACTATATTTTGAGAGTGAAAACAGCAATCATTGCCATATTTTGCATGTTATAAAAATAGATTTGGTTTTACAAATGAAGTGGTATTTTGAAATGTCTGAAGCTGGATTATTATCTATTGAAATCCATCATCATTATTTGGTAACAGGTAATGCTGACGATAGAGAAGTTGTTGACAATGCTGCATTTGTAGGAATTGAGGATTCCAGACCGGTTTTGATGGAAGTTCAAGTGTTAACAACGGAATAAACGTGGAAAATCCAAGAAGAGCAGTAATTGGATGAAATATCAACCGATTGGCTATTTTCATTGCAGTGCTAAATGCTCGTTGCAAAATGTCTTTGCATGAAAAAGAAATGTATCTGAACATTGGATGAGGGTTGAAAATACAAGAACCATCGGTTGATCTCTCTCTTATTTCAAGCATAGTAAGTTTACCGCTGTCAACTTCAGTAGCATTCACGTGAAATTGCACTTTTAGGTAAGATTAGACATATCTCATATGCTAATCTGAGGATAAAGAAGGAAAAAAAAAAGGATTTAAAAAAGCAATTATGCCTCAAAATAGCAATTACTCTCCTCACATATCGAAATAATTAAGCTTGGCCACATAAAAGAATTAAAGGAGATCTTTAATCACAGCTGAATAACGCTTTAGCAAATTCTTTATTAGTGAACTCTCTCAGGTCCTCTATACTCTCACCAATTCCTATAGCGCGTAAATTTATAAGTTTCTACAAGTCCAATCAACACACCTCCCAGCACCATCTAGCTTTGTTATAATAATTAATCCTGTAACACTAACTAACCATTTTAGCAAATGCCTCTAATTATGTATTTTGACCGGCAGTCGCATCAAGAACCAAAATACCATCATGAGGAGCAATGCCATCCAATTTCTTTATCTTTCTTTATATCTTTGATAAGTCCTCTATAACGTTAACATCATTTTGTAGCCTGCGTGCTTACTAAACAAATTCAAGGGAATGCTCGTTTTAAAATTACAATATATAGAATGGTATGCACTACGTGTATTTATAAAGTTAAATACAACGTTTTACGTGCAATTTTAAAGTGAAATGCATTTAATTTCCAATCTAAATATGTTATAAAATAGGATGTTGATTTACAGGTAATCTCATGAGTTATAGTGAGAAGAGTTTGGACCATTATGAACCTCAATTTTGTCACAATACCACATCTAAAAACTCATTTATATCTCATTATCAACAACATCATAGATGCACAACAAACCAGACCATCATCAGATATCCCCTCCCTCCTCCAATGTACATGTACATACCTGCATACTTCTTTACAGCATCATGACCTCTTAGGATTTTTATTGCATCAGCGTTATAGTTGCTACTTTCCACACAACCGTTCTATTTATAAATGTTAATATTATACATTAATATATAATTTAATAACCAACCCTAGAAAATCATCTTCTAACTTTTACACCACCACCAACCTTAATACGGCTAGGATAGAAGGACCCGAGCCCCTGCAAAACCACTTGGCTACACCCACCTCAACTCTCCTCACATCAACAACACACTATTAACCCAATTAGTATGATTTATTTCCTTTATAGGTATTATCACAATACTGGTTGATGCATTTCCTCAGCTTATTCTACAATTTTATCAACTTGATCGCTTCTGCTTTTCATAATTGCTATTACTTAGTTTTTTCATGAAGATATGCAACATATTACTTTGTGTATAGGAATTGTTCATTTAACTTTTTACAGAGGATGTCGCGGATTTTAATATCGCGATCTAAAAATATGAGTTGCAAATTGTAGTAAAGATATCTACGTAATTTCCGCAAATAATGCTTATACTTCGGACTCTTTGTTTCCAAATTTATGCTTCTACATATTGAAACAATTTACATCGTTCTTTGTTAGCAATCCTTACAATCATGAGGATATCTACATTGTTCTTTGTTAGCTATCATAATCATGCGGTTATCTAATAAGCTCTTTATTAGCAACTGGTGCCCATGCAAGCACCTCCTCTCCTTTGTTTCGATCATTGTCTAACATCAATGTAGATTTATAACCATACTATTGTCAATTAGGTCAGTTTTAAAATCATCCAATCCTCCGAATCAGTTTTACTCAATTGTTGCCCAAATATTTAGCTGGCATCCAACACATCTCCCTGACATCAAACTTCTCCCCCGAATAACAATTTAACCAAATCATAAAGGTTTGTTTCCAAAAACATTTTTTTGCTTCCACTACAATTTTGGTGCCACGAGCCGGGACATGTCCGACAGTATAAGAAAAGGAAGCGAATTATCGAAGTCGAGAACTCTAGAACTTCTTAAAGAAGCAAGTGAACTCGATCTGACCTCCCCGTCTCAAACACTATCACGAGGGGAACTTCAGCATCAATACGAAATTAAATTGCGAATCGTCAAGGAGAAGATCGCACATCTCGAATATTATGCTGGGTTACTCGAAACAGCTAATCAAAATTGGCTGGATAATATTCAGAGCTTGACAATAGCAACGAGGAGAAAGGAAGAGGAGACGAAATACGCCAATATGGTTGACGATCCACAAGGTATTTTAAGTTTAATCACTAGAACAAGAGAAACTATTATTACCCTTAAAATACATACTGATGAATATTGCTCGGTACTACAACATTTAAAACAAGAAGAGGTCAAAGAATCATTTCCAAAGAATAGTATGATTCACACAAATCAAGCAGAAATAAAACTTCCTCAATTACCACTAATAACGTTTAGTGGGATCCAAAATTGTGGAGGCAATTTTGGTGTAGTTTCAAGGCAGCAGTCCATGAGCAAAGCATCCCAGATATTCAAAAGTTAAACTATCTGATATCATGTCTTAAAGGAGATGCTTTGTTATCTGTAAGAGGTTATGATATAGCGCCAGAAAACTACGATGTTATAATAGGTTTACTAAAGGAGAAATATGGTAAACCTTTCCTTATAAAGAAATCACTCTACAACGAGTTGAATACCATCAAAAAAAATGACCGAGAGTGGAAAGCAACCATAGAAGCCATGGAGAGAACATTTCGACAACTGGAAGCTATAGGTGAAAATTTAGAGCATTCAAGCATCGAAATTACAATTGAAAATAAACTACCAGCGTGGATAATTGATAAATTATACCAATTGAAAGAGGATTCGACGAGTTGGTCAGTTAAGGATATCCGGCAGTACCTGACAAAACTAGTTCTAAGAAATGAAGAAGTTGCTAGAAGTCAAGCAGACACAAGGGAGAAGAAAACAAACAAAAATAATGTTAGAGGCGAAACGTCAGCTTTCGCCACAATCAACCAAACAAAGGGAGATAATACAATCAAATCAAAAAAGGTTCCAGGAAAAATTTCTATAAATGGGAAAAGGAAACCATGCGTATTTTGCAATAAGGACCACTGGAACAATGAATGTAACATCTATCCCACTCTCAAACTCCGGATGGAACGTTTGAGAGAAATCACTGCATGTTTCAAATGTTTACGAAAAGGACATGCAACAAGTGATTGTAAAAAAGGGAAACCTTTGTGTTTCCATTGTAAAAGTCCACACAATACAGCACTGTGTCCCAACAACTACAAGGAACTCACGCAAGCAGTGGATTCCAACAAAGAAAGGTTGGGTTCAGTCACAATCGCTAACTCCATTACCGAAAAAGGAAATCAATGGAAAAAGCGAACCTTACTGTTATGTAAGGAAATAAATGTAACCAATCCAAATCGCCCAAAAATCCAACAAAAGGCTTTAATTCTATTCGATATTGGTTCTCAATTATCGTTCATATCAAAGGATTTGGCTTATCGATTGAATCTACAAGAAACTAACGAGATGGAAATAAAAATTGCTTCATTTGGTGATAAGACGCCAAAAACGTGTATCACTACTAAAACTGAAATCGGAGTAAAAATTGGAAATAAATCCGATTAGATGTAATAACAGTTAACCACTTGACGAATGAATTGCAAGTAGTTAATCTAAACAAAAAGGAATTGTTGATGATAGACAAACGAAATCAGTTTAGTAATTTCAAAAACAAATGGAAACAACCGGACATACTCATAGGTGCGGATCACTTCTTCAAGTTTATCCAGTTTGACCAAGCAGAGAACTTAAAATCAGGATTTTCATTGATCCATACAAAGGTTGGACCTATAATAGCTGGAAGTGGGTATATAAATGAAATACACGACAGTATTTCAGAAACCACATCAGTAAGTCCGATTTCTCAAGTCAATGCCGTCAATATTCCAGACTTAGATCACTTTTGGAAACTGGAATTAATGGGTATACAAGACAAAATAAACTCTGACAATGATGAAAAAGCATTGCAGCAATTTAAACAAACTATCACTAGGGACAAGGGAAGATATCAAGTTTGTTGGCCTTGGAAAGATTCAAAGAACAAACTAAGCGATAATTTCGGACTTTGCCTTGGAAGATTAAAGTCGTTAATTAGGAGGCTTCAAATGAAACCTCAATTACTAAGTCGATACAATCAAACTATTGAAGAACAACTCAATTCCAATATAATTGAGAAAGTGTCATCGGAAATGAATGAAGTTGGTATTATTCATTATCTGCCTCATCACGAAGTAATAACACCAAATAAAACCACGACAAATCTGAGGATAGTTTATGATGCATCAGCTCATTGTAAAGGAATGAAAAGTTTAAATGATGTTTTATATCGGGGACCAATAACACTCCCTGATTTGGTTGGAGTTTTGCTACGTTTCCGTACAATGAAAAATGTAATAATAGCAGACGTAGAAAAGGCGTTCTTGCAAATAGAATTGCATCCAACAGATAGAAACTGCACTCGATTTCTTTGGTTGAAAGACATTCGAAGTCCAGTTAACGAAGAAAACGTAAGTTGTTACCGTTTCCAACGAGTTCCATTTGGAATTGTATCATCTCCATTTTTATTGTCCGCTACACTCAATTATCATTTGGAAACTTGTAAAAGCAAAATCGCACTCGAGTTAAGGAAAAATCTCTATGTCGATAACATTATAATACCAACCAAAGGAACCAACGAAGCTCTTTCCAATTATAAGGAAATTAAAATTATATTCAATGAAGCATCAATGAATGTACGGGAATTTCTCTCTAACGACCAAGAAGTCAATGAAAAACTTCCGGTACAAGATCGAGCAGAGGTAAGTTCAATTAAAAAAATTCTAGGTCTCAATTGGTACCACAAACAAGATATCATTCAAGTAACGTTAAAACCATGGTTTGGTAAGAAATTAACTAAAAGAATTATATTGCAATTCGTAGCCTCACAATATGACCCACTAGGATTCATAGTTCCTATACTGATAAGATTCAAATTGTTTCTCCAAACTTTGTGGAAAAAGAACCTTTCATGGGATCAAACTATAAGTGAGGAAGATGAAACCACGTGGAAATTACTCACGAACGAATGGCCAAAGAAACTAAAGGATCTACCAAGATTCACAACAAATTGTTCCAAGCAAGTACAATTTCATGTTTTTACTGACGCATCAACTGCTGCATACTCAGCAGCTTTATACATTCGAACTCAAGAAAGAGAAGTATTCTTAGTGTTTGCTAAATCCCGAATTGCGCCAATTAAAGGAATGTCAATACCTCGATTAGAATTACTGGCAATACTCATCGGAGTGAGAATGGTACAATTCGTATTAAAACAAAAAGAGCTTGAGGACGTGATAACAATTTTATGGTCCGATTCTCAATGTGCGCTTCATTGGGTTCACAATAGTTCCCGTTTACTACCAACGTTCATACAAAATAGGGTAGAAGAAATACGAAAGGCGAAAATCCATTTTAGATATATCCAAGTGAACAAAACCCAGCTGATATAGCTACAAAAGGAATCTCTCCGAATAAACTAAAAGGATATGATCTTTGGTGGAAAGGACCAAAGTGGTTAACAGAAAACGAATCAAAATGG